AGAAAAGAGGGCACAGACTGACCTTGAGGTTCATCAACTTCAATTGTGTCTTTCACCTGAGTTTGCTGATGTGCTTGCTGAAAACCAAAGTGAAACAAGTTGTTATTACACTAAAACGCCTCGAAACTAATCAGAAACAAAAGTTGCATAAATCACATAATAAGTTGATAAACTTCTTCTCAAATAAAAACCCACCATTAGGTGTCGCACTTCCTTTTCATACAGCTCGTTCAATCTCGAAGTGTTAAAGAACTGAAAATCATGCCTGCAGGATGGAAAAAATAAATAAATTAGCTTTATAGGATAAAAATACTATTCAGGAAAAATGATAAATGCAGAGCAGAGATAAATGAGGTACTCACAACTGAGGCATGCGTGGAATTCTAGGCTCTTTAGGTTTAGCTGGAGCACCTTGTCGCAATGTTTGCTTGAAGTATTCAGTTTCACAGTAGCTGAAGGTGGGTAGATAAAGGTAAATTTTTGAGGTTAGATGTTGTTTAGGAAGACAATTTAGAGCACGAATGAAAAAAGTAGAAGTAACATTTACTTGCGCTTTCTCTCTCTTTTTGGTGGATCATTCCAATTGTCACTCACAATCTTCTTAAAATCAAACTTGTTCTCATCCTACAAAACAATGTTAGAAGAGAATTCGGCAAAAATATATATTCAAAAAAGGGCAGAGAGTAAGCACAGTATGGGTTGGACATTTCCTCAAAAAGTGCAATAAATCATTCAGGAGTACCTTATTGTCATCGTCAAAATTATAAAGGTCAGCATCTGCAACAAACCGAAAGTTAATTATTGGATCTCCCATTACTCATCAGAAGAAAAAAAGGGATACATGAGACGCTTACTGTCATCCATTTTAAACTGTATAGCTTCTTCAGTGAATTTCTTCATCTTCGCATCAAGTTCAGCTGTCGCCTCTTCTCCTTTGGCAATGATTCTCTCAATATCCTCATCCGTGATTGTGCTATCTTTAGAACTAAACACCATTTCAGCACCATATCTCACCATTTGGAGTAGCTCATCCTTATTAACGGCTGAAATTAAAGAAAAGAAACAAACCTATAAGAGACGGTACAAACCTATATGAGACAAACCAATGTATTTTACAACCTCAGTACACAAACACTTACTTTTCTGTTCTGCCAATCGCCCTTGCTGAATTACCAGAGCATCAAGTGCCAGCTTCTTGTAAGCCCTCTCAATCACTTTCGCCTCAATAGCATTCTGTAAATGACCATTATAGAATTAGTTTTAAGTTCTCAATGTTTTTCTTACTTAATACACGTGTAGAAGATTGACCTCAGTGCAGAACCGGAACACTTGGACTTCTTTCTTTTGACCAATCCTATGTGCACGATCTTGAGCTTGCAAGTCGACTTGGGGATTCCTGCAAGACTCCGCCCATCTCATTAAGCATGAAGAAAAATACTCATTGAACATAATGGAAAAGAAAAGTGCTTACCAGTCACTGTCATAAAGGATCACAACATCTGCAGTAGCAAGATTGATACCAAGCCCTCCAGCTCTAGTGGATAACAAGAAAACAAATTTCTCACTTCCTGGCTTGTTGTAGGCTTCTATGGAAGCATCTCGTTCGTCACCATCAGTATTTCCATCAATACGGCAGTACTGGTAACCACGATACATTAAATAATCCTCAAGAATATCCAAAAGCCTTGTCATCTGATACAGGTGAGCAAAATCATTAGAATAAGCACAAAGAAACAAGAAGAATAGCACTCAGACAAAAGGAAACCATTATTTGATTGCGTTAATGCTTTACCTGAGAAAATATCAGAACCCTTGAATCGCGCTCCTTCAACTTAGGTAGCAATTTATCTAAGAGAACCATCTTACCTAGAAACAAGAAAATGTAACAGATAAGATTAAGACATTCAGCCATGGATATATGGAGGATCTAATTTGAATGTAAGTCTTGCCTGCATTTGTTACAAGATGATCTCCTGTGGTATAGGGGGGACCTGGTTCTGCACCCTGGAAGAGATAAGGGTGGTTGCAGCATTTGCGTAATTGCATTGCTATGTTCAACAGACGTTTGCGTTCTCCACCACCATTAACCACTTCAAGATCCTTCTGCAATAAGGCCTTGTAGTACTGTTTTTGCATCTGAGACATGCCAACTTTGAGTATCGTCTCCTTTTTTGGAGGTAAGCCTTTCTCTACATCCGATTTTAACCTCCGAAGAAGAAATGGACGGAGAACCTAAAAAGAGAAGAGGTAAACGATTAGCATAACAACAGAGAGAATAAAGTTGATAACCACGAGTACATACCTTATGAAGTTGTTGAACGACTTCTTGCTGGTCATTTTCACCAGAAATTTGAAACCACTCGTCAAAAGTCTCTGCTGAACTAAAAACCTCGGGAAGAAGAAAATTGAGAAGAGCCCACAGTTCATGGAGATTATTCTGTAAAAGAGAAAATATGAGATCTCTCAAGCAAGAACAGTATTATCTGACACAAACCACGAAAATAAAAAGAAGCATCTACAAACAATGTATAGTCAAAACGACTATGCTCAAACAGACTCATGAAAAAAGTAGTTTCAACATACAGTCGTAAACAATTTGACAGATTTTAAAAGAATTCTAAGCTATTCTGATCACGAGATTGAAAAAAATACCTGAAGAGGGGTTCCGGTGATAAGAAGCCGAAAATTGGTGCTAAACAGTCTCATGGTTTTTGAAAGGAGCGAATTCTCATTCTTGATACGATGTGCTTCATCAATGATTATATAACGCCAGCTAAAGCGACGCAAGGTAGTCTTTTCTTTGATAGCCATCTCAAAGCTTGTAACACAAATGTCGAACTTCCCCGCAACTAGCAGTTCATCACGAATATATCTCTGCAGTACATAGCATGTTTCAGAATCCTAGTGGGCACACATAGTTACAAGCATTCAAATGGCAGAGAATTTGTGACTTACCCTTTCCTCAGGATTACCAAGGAATTTCACAGCACGCAAGACGGGACAAAATCGTTTAATTTCATTCATCCAGTTACCAAGGGTTGATTTAGGAGCAACTACCATGTGAGGGCCACTAATTCCCCTGTATTCATGTAGGTAAGCCAGCAAAGATATTGTTTGAAGTGTCTTCCCCAGACCCTAGACCATATGAAGAACATTAGTGATGTCAAGATTTAGCATCAGATAATAGAGAGCTGGAAAACCTTAGTTTAAACTTGGATAAGCGGCTGTTTACCATTTCATCTGCAAGAATTCCATTAATGCCGTTTTCGTACAACCGAATGAGCCAGTTTAGTCCAGCTAATTGGTAATCTCTCATTTTCCCTTGAATACCTGTAATATGAATAGTACAAAGATAAGATATCTAAAATTCTACAGATTTTCCACACAATACATAGAAACTGTGAGGTCGAAACTGAGGCATTACGTTAAACACGCATCAGAGAAGTGAACATAAGGTATCAAATTATATTATAACTTATTGTCAGTGGTCACAACAAGACTTGCTCAATTATGGGCCATTTATAGATACAAAGAGCAGATTACAGGTACTTACAAGTTGGCTGTGTGAGCAATCGAGATCCAGATACACCACCCTCTTCTTCCTTCAAACACTCTTCATCTTCCTCTTCTTCAGTTAGCTTGGAAGCATGACGACCCCTGGAGATAAAGCGAAACCCAATAAATTAGGCAATGAGACTGTATGCTTATCATCTATCATGAAAATTCAAAGGAACGACCACAATTTATTCTGAGATCGGTTACACTCAACAAACCTTCCTTTCCCCTTCTTCTGGGACGGAGATGGGTCATTTTTAGCAAAATGTGCAAACAACTCCGTTTGCTGCAGAAGATACTTCAACCTCCCCTTTCCCTTGTTGTTCTAAATACAAAAAAAAGATCGAAATTTTTTCAATGCCTCTGGATGTAAAGGAGAAGCAGCTCAAATCCTTACAGTTATTTACTAGCTTACCATATCTGCATCTATGGAAGCGTTTTGGGCGTCCAAAATATCCTGAATTTTCTGCTTCTTCTTTTTCTGCAGTTCTTTCAGTCTGGCCTTTTCACGTTTGCTGATTTCAGCTTTTTCTTCGTCTTCTTCGTCCTACACATGCTCATTATTAAAAGAGTGACCATATATCCTCAATTCTGAGCGACTAATTAGCATTGACTCCAAAGCAAAAACCTCCAAACAAAAGGAATCGAAACTCTATGACTCGAACTAAAACAAGATATTCTATCCAGCGACAAACAAAGGACAACACCGTAAACACGATCTTAAAAGACACCCAAAAAAGTTAAGTGTCGAATACAAGACCCAAACACACTATTCATTAAACGCTCCAGAGGAATACAAAGGAAACCCTAATCGTGATTATATTCAAAATTCCAATTACAACAATCCCCGAAATCACAGCAGACATGAGAATGCGAATCGAAGAGGGGGACACAGAGAAATAGAAATACCTCGTCGGCGTCATCTTCTACGGGGACAACCTCATCGTCAGAGACGGGTGCTTCGTCAGCGTCAACATTATCCTCGCCGGAGTCCGCAGAGCGAGCAACGGCCTCAAGCTCCTCGTCATCTTCTTCCACACTGGGCGGCTGGTTGTTAACTTGCTGCTCCTCCTCCGACGAGTAAGCCTCGTCTGAAGAAACTTCCCGCTCCGAAGGTCTCATCATTGTCGACGCCTCTCTACGAATTCCTGATTTCGTTTGAGATCGAGGGTTTCTTTTTGAGTTTGCTTTGATTAAAAAAAAAAAGTGAATTAAAGAAGCAACAACAACAAAAACCGAGATTTGAAACGACCGTAGCTTCCGAGTCGATTTTACCCCGTTGATTCGATAGAACAAATCTACGGCTTAGATCTGCTACGTGGCCTTTTATGTATATTAGAAATTTCCCGCCACCTCAGAAAAAGAGTTTCGCGTATTCCCGCCTTGGACTTTAATTTTCACTTCTGGGCCCAAAGCCCATGGGCTGTTATAAAAAGTCAAACTCTATGAAACTTGTGGTACGTATTTACGTGACTTCTCTCTCGTCTCTGATTTGTTTACCCGCCTTATCCATAACGACTGCCGAATCACGTATATGACACCTCAGCAGTCGAAGCTGTGACACGCAACGTTTGAAAATGCCAATAATACCCTTGGTATGAACAAACACGCTTATCTCCAGCGGCTTTGCGTATAGAGGATGAAAGTGGAAATTAAAGAAAAAAACAGAATATTCGTCGTATTTCGTCGCGGTTTCTTCTTCCACCTTCTTCTCTGTCGCGATTTGCAATTTGCATCGCAATTCGCAAATCACGCCTCCTATATAAACATAAGTCCGCCGATTATTATTCAGCCGGAGATTATCTCCGATTAGCGACCCAATTTGCCATTCTTGCTAAATGAAGTTCATTTAAGGCTTTTGGTTCGCTTGCTTGGATATTCAGTTTCATTCTTATTTATTCATTTCTGGGACTTGGTTGCTGAAATCTCTTGCGGAATTTGCCCTGATCCTCGTTAGTTTGGGTTTCGTGAGTGTCATTTTATAAGCTAATTATTTATTTTCTTTTGCTACTTTGCTTCCGAATTCTGCTTTGTTTAGCTCAATTTTTCCCTTATTTAATTTGGTTGATGAAGATGTGGTTGTGTTTATTATCATCTTGCAGACTATGGGACAAAGGAGATGGCTTTTTTTGCTGGCAATTTTTGCCTTTCTTCTTTCCTTTTCTTCCAGTAGAGGTAATAATGGAACTACTATGATGATATGATATCATCAACAATTTTATGTACTTGGTGTATGAGTTGTGAGGCTACAAATGAATCAAGACTGAATTTACGGTGACTTGTTTCTTCTGATTGCAGTTCTCAAGTTGAGGAGCGATGAATTTCGACCTGTTTACAACCATACGCTTGCCTTAACGCTTGTGGAGTATGCTTCTGCGGTAAGTTGATGGCACTCTCAGATACTACAGTAATCAAGCAGGCTTGTAACAACTGTTTTCTTTGATTACTTAATTCCCTACAAAATGCATGCCATTTATCGCTAATACTGTACTCTGAAAAATAAGAATTTTGATATGTAACACTTGTCCTGTTATCTTTCATTTATAGTAATCAGCACTGCTTTTAACACTAGTAAAGAAGAGGCATTATGCTGATAAACTACACTAGATGGATGAACCAAGTTTGTTTATGTATACAGGTCTATATGTCTGATCTGTCAGAACTCTTCCATTGGACTTGTGAAAGATGCAACGGTTTGACAAAGGTATAGCACATGTTGAGGCTGATCACTGTTTGAAGCCACAGTATGTAAAAGATGATAATAGCTCCAATTGGGCATTCTAACGCTCTTTAGGATGGTGCAGGGCTTCCAAGTGATAGAGATAATATTTGACGTTGAGCACTGCTTACAGGTCTGCCCTGATATCTTACGCTACATCTGGACATAATGTGTTGCATTGAACAAAGTTTAATATCAGAACGTGTTACTTGTAACCACAGGCATATGTTGGTGTGGCTAAGGATTTGAATGCTATCATTATTGCATTCCGGGGAACTCAAGAACACAGGTATTATTCTTGTCTTTGTAATGTTAAAGCTACACCTTTGACTAAACTTGTTTGGTTCATAATCAACTCAAAACTTATGCAGCATACAAAATTGGGTCTCGGACTTGTTCTGGAAACAGCTCGATCTAAATTACCCTGATATGCCAGATGCAATGGTACGCTTTTATAACGGCAAGCTTTGTCATTGAGCTGGTCATGTAGTAAGGTGGAATTTGTGATGGTTGTCCTACATTTGGCAGGTACATCATGGCTTTTATAGTGCATATCACAACACAACTGTACGGCCTGCAGTTTTGGGTGCAGTAAAACGAGCAAAGAAAGCCTATGGGACTAACATGAAGATCATGGTGACTGGTCATTCAATGGGAGGAGCCATGGCTTCCTTTTGTGGGCTAGACTTAGTTGTAATAATCCTCGACTTGTGCTAATTTTGTTATATCTTACTGTTATGTCCTTTGAAGTTGTTAATTGACTTGGATTTGGATGTACATCTCAGGTAAATGAAGGAGAAGAAAATGTGCAGGTTATGACATTTGGGCAACCTCGTGTTGGGAATGCCGATTTTGCATCTTATTATAGTTTGCTTGTGCCTAACACCTTCCGGATCACGCATGACCATGACATAGTTCCTCATCTGCCTCCTTACTATTATCTTTTCCCTCAGAAAACATACCACCACTTCCCAACAGAGGTAATGTCACTTCCTCTGTAGTCTTTCCAATGTATGAGCGTGAAATCTCCTCCTGGTTTTCTTAACTGTATGGAAAAATGGATGAAAGTGGTAATGGTGTTATTCGGGTTGCAGGTGTGGGTGAAAGATCTCAGTTTCTTGAATATTTTTCGGTTTAGTATGGAGAAAGTTTGTGACAACACCGGTGAAGATCCTACATGCAGCAGGTAATTATCAGGAATCGTTACAACACGCCCTGTGTTTCATGTTTTAGCTCAGGTATCAGACATTTTTTACACGAATCCAGTATGATTCTTGTCTCTTGTTGTTTCAGATCGGTGAGGGGAACAAGCATTTCGGACCATCTAAGGTACTTTGGGGTAGAGCTGATGTGTGAGACTTGGAGACAATGCACGATAGTGATGAGCAATGAGATGGAAAGGTTAAGCACGAAAGATTCAAAGGGTAACATATTACTATCGCGGAAAGTTCCTTCCGCTGGGAACGTAAATGAAACAAAAACTCCATCGAAAATCGTTCTATAGGAGTCGGTGGACTCGAGTCTTGAACAAGAATGCTTGCTTGAGAGGAAGGTTTGGGAGATTCAATGCGGAGGAAGAAGAAGGTTTCTTTCTTTGATTCTTTGTGGTCTATAAAGAAAGTGTACAGATAATAATTAAGACTTTGTAAATAAGTTGATAGTCATGTAGCAAAAAAAGAAAAGAATTTCAGGTTAGATCTTTTTTTTAAAATTTAAATCCGTAATCACGTGGATATTGGTTGGATTCAGCTGTATGTAAATTTAAGTAAATGGATTCGTAGTTTAGTTCAATCGGGGGACAGCCTCAAGTTACTCATATTTACTTTAATCATCAATTAGCAGATGCTTTGACTTTGACAAAGCTTCTGTCTCGTGCTTCTTTTGTCCCGCTTTGCATTAAGATTAGTCTAGTTGGGCTCAACACGTCTTGAGGGGGCGTGTAAGAGCAAGAACAAGTCAACAACCTCTTCCTACGATATACAAAGATAAACTTGGTTAGAATCATACAAAGAATCTTGTAAACGTCAGATATGGAGATTAGAAGAGTTGAAAGTGTTAAAATCCCAGATTTTGGGTTATGCACGTAGACACATAAGGCTCTTAAGCATTGAACAATAGACAAATGGTGGAGATGTAGAGTTCTTTTGGGAATTTGGTCTTGCTGCGAGAATAAACACTAGAAGTTTGATGACTCATGATATATTTGAGAGATAGAAGAAGCGAACGATATTAGCCATTCTTGGCATAATTCATACATATCCTAACATGTGTAAACAAAAATTACCAATACAGCTATTGGCTATTGCCTCCGACTCCGACTCCGACTCCGACAACCTTAATAGTAACACAACTGAAAAAAAAAGGATGTCCTAATCATTCACAAATCCGACCTAGTATAATGGATAAGATATTTTTATATTAAAAAAAAAGGAAATCACCCAGAAATCTATTTTATAATTGACAACTGAGTTTGCTTTGTAGACCGACAACTGACAACAACAGCCCGACTTTTGAAACGACCGTCGCTTCCGAGTCGATTTTTACCTCATTGTTTCGAGAGATTACCGAAGAAGACCATCTCTATCTCAATTTGCAATCCGCAATCGCGGACTACGCTCCAATATACATCGGCCCGGGAATATCTCCGATCAGGGACCGAATTTCCGATTCGTGGTTGAAAACAAGTTCATCAACGCTTTGATCCTCAGGTTTGTCGAATTGTTTTGTTTTCTAAACTTAATTAGTTGCGGAAATATCTTGCGGATAATTTCCGTAGTCCTCGTTAGTTGTGGTTTCGTGGATGAGCTAAACTGCTTTCCGAATGTTGCTGCTGTGCTTAACTCAATTTTCCCCGTATCTTGGTTAATGAACAGAAGATGATGCGAGTGGAGAAAATTGGAGTAAAGAGGTGGTTGTTCTTGCTGGCAATTTGTTCTTGTCTTCTTTCATCTTCCTGTGTAAGAGGTGATAATGCTCCTTCTTTATTGATTTTTTCTCTGTTTTTTCTCTTATTGTTTTCCAAATGATTACCTCAACTGTGAGGTTAGATATGAATTAAGACTGAAAAAATAGAGACTTTATGGTGAAATCTGTCTTCTGATTGCAGTTCTCAAGTTGAAGAACGATGATGGTCGACCTGTTTACAACCATACGCTTGCCGTAACACTTGTGGAGTATGTTTCTGCGGTAAGTTAGTGGCAGCTTTCTCCTTTGAGAAAGAAGTAACTAGATGCGTAACACTTGTTCTGTTATCTTTCATTTATAGTAATCAGCATTGTTATTAGAGAAGAGAGATCCTGCTAATAAAGTACACCAAATGGATAAATCAAGTTTATATATGTATGTATGTATGCAGGTCTATATGTCTGATTTGACTGAACTCTTCACTTGGACGTGTGAAAGATGCAATGGTTTGACAAAGGTATAACACATGCTGAGGCAGATCATTGTTTGATGCCACAGTATGTAAAGAGTTATTCTAACATTCTTTAATGGTGTAGGGTTTCCAAGTTATAGAGATAATAGTTGACGTTGAGCACTGCTTACAGGTCTGCCCTGATATCTTAAGCTATGTCAGGACGTGATGTTCTTTCATTGAACAACTATTGATATCAGTTCATTTTAACTTGTAACAACAGGGATATGTTGGGGTGGCAAAGGATTTAAATGCTATCGTTATTGCATTCCGGGGAACTCAAGAACACAGGTAGTTGTAATCTATGAGCTTCACCTTTGCCTACTAAACCTGGTTGGTGCTTAATCAACTCAAAACATGTGCAGCATACAGAATTGGGTCTCGGACTTGTTCTGGAAACAGCTTGATCTAAATTACCCTGATATGCCAGATGCAATGGTAAGATTTCAATGGCAAGTTTTTCTTACTGAGTTTGTCATGTAGTAGGGTGGAATTTGTAATAGTTGTCTTACTTTGGCAGGTACATCATGGCTTTTACAGTGCTTATCATAATACAACAGTACGGCCTGCAGTGTTGGCTGCAGTAAAACGGGCGAAGAAATCCTATGGGGCAAACATTAACATCATCGTGACCGGTCATTCAATGGGGGGAGCCATGGCTGCTTTTTGTGGGCTAGACCTAGTTGTAATAATCCTTAACTCTTAACTAGTTTCGTAATCTCTCCTTGTTATGTTTATTGAAGTTGTTGATTGACTTGGATTTGGATGTGAATCTCAGGTGAATGAAGGAGAAGAGAACGTGCAGGTTATGACATTTGGGCAACCTCGTGTTGGGAATGCGGCTTTTGCATCTTATTACAGTTTGCTTGTGCCTAATACCTTCAGGATCACGCATGACCGAGATATAGTTCCTCATCTGCCTCCTTTCTTTTATCTTTTCCCTCAAAAAACATACCACCACTTCCCAACAGAGGTAACAACGTCTTTTACTATTTTTGTTTAACTTCTCTCAGCGTAATCCGTTACGTTTGGTATTCATCAGAGAAACAGTTTTGAGATTGTTATGCTACAACGTTTGGTAATGGTATCTTTTGGGTTGCAGGTGTGGGTGAGAGATGTCAGTTTTTCGAATTTTATTCTTTTAAATTCGGAAGAAGTTTGTGACAACACTGGTGAAGATCCTACATGCTGCAGGTAACTTACTTTTTTCGTGTTTCTATTCGATCCCTCAGCAAAAACTCGCTGACATAATGCAGTTAGCAGTACACTTTACTAGCAAAAACATGCCCGCAAATCGAAACTTAAGACCATTACTTCCACGTTCCACCTGAGCAATGATTTCATGTTTTCAGTTGGGAACAAGACAGTTTTAGACATGTCCAGTATAATTGTTGGGTTTTGTTGTTTCAGGTCGGTGATGGGAACTAGCATAACCGACCATTTAAGTTACTTTGGGGTGGAGTTAGGGGGTGAGACTTGGAGACAATGCAACATAGTGATGAGCCATGAGATGGAGAGTTACAGCAGCAAAGATTCAAAGGGTAACATATTCCTGTCGTGGACAGTTCCTTCCATGGAGGTCACTGAATCGAAAACCGGAGTATTTAGTCTATAGGAATCGTGTTGATTCGAGTGTCGAACAAGAATGCTTGTTTGAAATGGGGAGAGGTTTGGAGATTCAGATGTGGAAGAAGCAGAAGTGTTCTTTGATTCTTTGCGGTCGTTAAAGAAAGTGTGCAGATATATAATAATCAAGACGCTGTAAATAAGTCCTAGGTACTAGTAAAAACAAAAACCATTTTAAATCTTTACGATTTAAATCAGTGATCAAGTGATCATATAGATATTGGATTCAACTATGTATGAATGAATATCCAATTGCTGTGGACCATGAAATTATGTATTATATAATAATCTGTCCCTCTCTCCTTATTTTCTACCACATGATATATATAATTCGAGCTCTGAAGATATGAATGTTTCTCTTATCTACATGGTTCGGCTAAGTTACGTATTATGGCTGGGAATGGTTGTTATTCGCGAACACTGTCACCATTTTATTTGATTGGCTTCACCTGTAGAAGCAATTTCCAAGTTGATATTAAAAGGGAAGGAACGGAGAACCGAATGTCAAGTGGCCTGCATGTATAATATAAGATGTACACGAAACGAATACTTTTGTAGCCCTTTGACTAACATTCTCTAAATCCCACGTTAGTCTTATTATTTTTTCTTTAAAATTTACCCATGTAATATTTAAATCTTGTTTACCGGATATTCCAACTTAACATGAACTATTGGAATACACTCTAAACTTTCTAGAATAATATTTTCACATAAGAGAAGCTAGATAGGACAAAATCTTCTTCAACTAGTTAAGATTTGTATTGATGTAACAAGGATAAATGATATTTTCTTTGTACTTATCAAAAAACTCTTTATTAATTTCAGAAAATAAACAATTTTCATTTTCACATATGTTTTCAACCATATACTATTTGCAGCCAGTGGATATAAGGGCATAATATTTTGTTTTCTTACTTGAATTTCATGTGAATTTTTTTAAAACAAAAAGTGAGTTTTATTTTAAATTTTTTAAAAATTGGATAAGGAAGTTCATTCTTTCCCTACAATTTCCCCGTTCATATACGTTTATCAACCAGATACTACTATTTGAAGCCTATGGATATAAAGGCATAGTGTTTTGTTTTTTGTACTTGAAATTCATGTGATTTTCTTAAAACCATAATGTGAGTTTTATTTTTCTATATAAAAATTTTGGCCGACTAAAAAAAAAAATTTCTCGAGATTATTTCATTATTGGCCATTATAAAATACTAGATTAGGCCTCGCGTATACACGGGTTTATTATACAATTTTTGAAATAAATCATAAAAAAATATTAATTAAATTTCACTCTTTAAAATTAAGTAGATTAATATTAAAACCCCGATAAAAGACCTCTAAATAATATTAGATTGATAATTTTTTTACATTTTTATTATTTGATGAAATCTTTTTTTCAAATATTTTTTTACCTAACAAAAAATTAAACTATTAAAATCAGAATATTAGTTCATTATAATTTTTTCCTGTTAATATTAGTTAGTTGCTCGATAATTATTTTATTATTTTTCTATTTATATTGTTTTTTCAGTTTTGTTTTTGACTCAGGTCATTATAAAATTTTCTTTCCATTATTAGTTAGTTGTTTTATAATTATTTTGATTTTTTTTCTTTTTTCTTTTTCTTTTCTTAATGAGAATTATTTTTCCTCCTTATCTTAATAAGGTATATATCAATATAATATGTTACCAGACTGCAGATTAAAATTACAAATTTCGATGATCTTTCCTTCGGCCATCTGATCTCAAAAATTTTAAAGTAGTGAATGATGCACAAAATCTTGAATTGTGTTTTCCTGTTTCAAACAAAAGTAAAACTTTAATGTTAATCAATGTTATAATAAGATTATCTATATCAATATAATAAGATGTTATACTAACATTTTCATCAAGTAATAGAAGCTCAGCTCCCAAAAGAATAGTACGACGATAACTTTGATTTCGATCCAATTGACGTAGAGTCAAATAATCTCCACTGTTCTCTTGAACTTTCAAAACATGATTTTAAAATTAGAGAAAAGAATCAAAAAGATTTGCTGAATTTGCTTTGATGAGTTTGTGAATGAGAAAAAGAGAATACATTAGCTCTCTTTTTATAGGGGGTTCATGTAACCAATTTCATATAGTTTTATGATATTTAGTTTACATACCTATTTCATGTACTAATAAATTTTTTTAAAATAGGGGTTTAAATAACCTATATTCCATACAATTTTAGGATATTTAGTTTACATACTATTTCATGTACTAATAAATAATTTTTATTACATTATTTTTCATTTATTATATAAATTTTCGTTTTTATTATAAAAGATTAAAATTTTCCCTTAGTTTTTTTTTTCCTTTTTCTCACTACATGTGTCACGATCTTAACGGACATAACATTAAAAGTGACATACGTCGCAATTCTATAAATTATAAAAATCCTACGTGTCACAACCACGTTGTGCGCATCCAGCTTTATAGAAAATATAAAAAATGGATAGATACCATCACGTGGTCCAATGGGCTTAGTGGGGGCAATGCAACTGACTCAAGCAACGAACACTTGACCTTTTGTATTGCAGGATGCAACTCTCTCTATACGACCATTTCCCCAAAAATAGTAGTATAGTACCATGTTCGAGAAACTTGAAGAAAACTCAAAAATAAATGAGTTAGGAGGAGTAAAAGAAATTATTATCGTACTAAACAGTCGTCAAAAATCTCCAATTGGTAAGGAAATAGGTCATTTATTATCCTTTTGCTAATATTACAATTTACAAGCAAATAAAGAAAAGTCTTTCTAAAGTATTGGGAAATAAAATAAAAAGAAATGTCGCTCAATAGATAACGATCTAGAATTGTGATTGGTCAATAAATCGGCGATACTCTGTTACGGTTGTGTCCATGTCATCCATCTCCCTCCACCTTCACCTTATCTTTCCCTCTCCCTCTCTCTCCTAATTATTTCCAGTTTCTTTATAGCTCACGAACTCCCAAGCTAACAAGATTCACAGGGAGAGAGAAAAAATAAAAGCGATAAAAAAGATCCGAGCTTTTTTTTTATATCTCTCTCTCAACTCAATACATTTCTGCAAATAGAAGAAGATTGAAGAATTTTTGGTTTATCTTCTTCTATAAAAACAAGGCGTGGGGTCTGTTTTCATTTCTGGCCTTGCGATTCCGATAAATCTATCGGCTTCAAAGCCAAAGCCCATTCAGCTCAATCCAAATCCACTTTCATATATATAAATTGAAAGAGAGAGAGAGAGTTACCTTTTCCCATCTCTGTCTCTCTCTCTATCGGCTTTTCTCCTCCTGTTCTCATGGAAGCTTCACCCAATGATCGCCTTCATTTTGGCAAAATGGGTTTCGGGTAATAAAAATTCCTCTGTTTCTGTCTTTTAGTCTCTTGTTCTCTGTTTTAACAGATCAATGTTTCCTGGGTCGTGTCTCGTTTGTTTTCACGTATGGTCCACGACGATTCGTCTCCTCCTCTGTGTGATCCGTAGATTCCAGCAAAATTTTAAGCTCTGATTCACAAAGTTTATTCCTTTTCCACATCTGATTCATGGGTTCTCATCTGTTTCCAGTTTCAGAACCAAATCGATCATAGATCTGTCTCGATCCATACAATTTGATATGATTTCCAACATCTACTGATCCGTATAGATTGTTTCTCTTCCATGTGTGATCAGGTGTAAGCATTACAGGAGGAGATGCCAAATCAGAGCTCCATGTTGCAACGAAGTCTTCGATTGTCGACATTGTCACAACGAGAGCACTGTATATCCTCAATTTCCATCATCTTAAATTACTTGAGACAACAAATCGTATTGAATATAGCTGAGAACATTCCTTTTTTGTATTTTAGAGCGCATTGCGCAATATCTACGATCGTCATGAGCTTGTTCGTCAAGATGTTAAACAAGTACGATCCCATCCTCTTATAGAATTATGTGTTTGTGTTGTTAGCAAGTTAGCATTTTTTTCTAATGTGTTGCATCTTATTGCGTTTTTTTCAGGTGATTTGTTTTGTTTGTGATACAGAGCAGCCGGTGAGTCTCATAATTATAGTTTGAATTGCTCTTAACTTGTCTTATAAGTTATGAATACTTTGTAAATTGGGTTTTGTTTTGGTGTGATTTTTTCAGGCAGCTCAAGTTTGCTCCAACTGTGGTGTCAACATGGGAGAATATTTTTGCAATATCTGCAAATTCTATGATGATGATGTAAACCACCTTATGAATTTTGAGTCTACACATGTGTTTTACCTTTTACTTCTCGGTATTTGATTCTGATTGGTGTTCCTATTTGACTGTTTCAGACAGAAAAATTACAGTTCCATTGTGATGATTGTGGAATTTGCAGGTGTGATTCTTTCTCCATACTGTATAATACTCTATTTATGTTCCTCATGGTTTGTATACACTGTGAATTGTGATCCTTCTGAAGCTTAGATTGATCTCTTCTTGACATTTCTTCGTGTTGCAGAGTTGGTGGCCGTGAGAACTTCTTCCACTGCAAGAAATGTGGTAAGATATAGCACTGAAACTTTCTCATGTATATTTTCCTACAATTACACAACCAATCATATGTTGTGAACTAATAAAATCATCCTTTTTTTTTGCTCTTAGGATCTTGTTATGCGACCGGTCTGCGCAACAACCATCGTTGCGTTGAGAATTCAATGCGACATCACTGTCCCATTTGTTACGAGGTATGTGTGTTAACCGGAAAATGTGAAATTTTCAGTCAAAACATATTTGAGGTTTGAGCTAATTGTGTGTGTGAATGAAAATGCTTTGTGGCTGCAGTATCTCTTTGACTCTCTAAAGGACACAACAGTGATGAAATGCGGACACACAATGCACTGCGAATGCTACCACGAGATGATCAAGCGTGACAAGTAACACTTTTTCAACTCTTTTCTTGTGGTTGAATTTTTTGGTGATTGCGATGGTTTTTGAATGTGTGAGCTTTTGTTTGTGCAGGTTTTGTTGTCCGATTTGCTCGAGGTCAGTGATTGATATGTCAAAAACATGGCAGAGAATGGATGAAGAGGTTAGTTTACTTGAGGTTCTTCCCATTCGTTGCTGATTCTTGCGGATCAATTTCTGACAAAAATATCAAATTGTTTTCTTAGATTGAGGCCACTGCTATGCCTTCAGATTACCGTGATAAGAAGGTAACTAAGTTTCTTTCTCAGTCACTTAAGCATATTGACATCAAAGTTGAATAATTTTCTGACAAGATTCTGATGGAACTCACAGGTTTGGATACTATGCAACGACTGTAACGACACAACAGAAGTGTACTTCCACATAATCGGACAGAAATGTGGACATTGCAGATCTTACAACACTAGAGCCGTTGCACCTCCTGTTCTTCCTCAATGACAGAACCAAGATCTCTCTCAAGTACTGCCACCGGAAAAGCAGGCAAGAACTTTTTGTTGCCAAAAACTGGGGCAAAGATTGGTGATCGGTTATAACAATACAAAAGAAAAAAAGATGATCAATATGATTATTGATCATCACAAAAGCAAAACACACATTTGTTTCCTTCATAATTCGATTTGTTGTTGTTCTTTTATGTGGTTATATTTTACCATTTATGTTTGGGGGTGTTGGAAACCGAGAATTATGTATAATAGACTATATTCTTGTTCCAGGAAAAATTACCTGGACAAAATGTTCTTCATTCTCCTCTCTCTGCAAACGATCTATGGATGGATATAGACTCATATTTTTATTGTAGTTTGGATCAACAAATCTCTCAAATTCACAGATTTTCTCATTTCATAGTCTCATCAAATTACACACTACACACAGCTCAAAGTCATCATTTGCATAAAACTTCCCAACTAGAAGAACTGTTCTCCAAGTTCTTGACCAGCCATTCCTTCTCTGATCACTTTCTCAAAGAACCCCTCAAGCGTATCCTTCCCATAACTCGGCGTCTTCTCTTCACTATACTCTCCAGTCTCCGGATCAAGAATCAGCATACTCTCCGCAGCGTAATACCTCCCAATCTTGCCAAACTCAGCAGCCTCACCAACCGAAGGAAAGACCTTCGCCACAAAATCAAGAACACCAATCGCGAAATCCATAATCTCGATAGGTACTTTCAAGAACTTAGGCTCTCTCCCAAGAATCCTAAACAGAATCTCCCCTTGCTCCAACGGCGTCAACGCCTTCCCCGGTCCACCGATAGGCAAAACCTGATTGATCTTCTCCTCTTCCAACACGCAGTCCGCTATAAACGCCGCCAGATCCTGCTCGCTGATCGGTTTGCAAGCGCACAGCTTGCCGTCTCCGAACATCACGTACGGCTTCCCATCTTTCACGATCTCCACTTGACCTCCTAAGCTCTTGAAGAACGCCGTTGGTCTCACAATGCTGTACGTGAAGCTCGAGTCTTCAGCTAAATCCATCAGCTCTGCTTCGAACTTCAGCTTCGCTCGCTGAAACTCCAGTAACGGCTTCTGCACGCAGATCGCGGAGAGGAGAACGAAATGCTTGGCGCCGAATTTCTTCCCGGCGAGGAGACTGTTCTTTGTGGCTTCGTAATCGATCTTCCACGAATCCTTAATCCCTCCGTTGCGGCTAGCGAGACAGGAGACAACGACGTCGATGCCTAAACCTAGATCCTCCACGGATTTCTCCAGGGAATCTAGCTGAGTGACATCGGAGAAACACACATTCGCGCCTCGCAGCTGATTCAGCGTCTCTTGCTTGTCGTTTTTGCCTCTGATTCCGCTCTTCTCTCTCGCGACGGCGATCACATTGAATCCTCTTTTGATCAGCTCTTTCACTACGAATCTTCCGATGTACCCAGTCGAACCAACCACCAGGACGTTTATATCCTTTGGGTTTTTGCTCCTGAAGGAAGACGGTGTGGCTAATTCTGAAATTCCGGCGTCTAGAGATGAAATTGGTTTGAGTCTCGCTCTTCTAAACTTAAGATTCGTCGAGGATTCGTGGATTTGGAATGTAGAAGCGAGAGGGAACGAGTTTACCTGGAATTGTGAAACGAATTTGGAGTCTCTGAGGAAGCTTTTGGGTTTCGGTGAGTAGGAAGCGAATACGTTGAAGGAAGTACAAAGGGACATTTTTCGATTGCTCTGTACAATGCTGTTTCAGTGATGGGAAAATGAGAGGGAAAATGAGAGGGAAAGTGCGAGAAAGTGAAGGAAAATTGTATCCACTGGATAAACTTCGTTTGATCTTCTTCTTCATCCCAAAACGCAAACAAAGTCAATTTTTCAAAATGGCCCCTCATATTTTACGTTTTCTCTATTACAACCCGATAGTTTCTTGTATGCTGAAATGTTTTGGAGCAAATTATGGTAACAAGAGAGAACAATACCAAATAATACCTTATTTATCAGTCATCACTAATCAAGAACCAAAACAAAGTATACCTTTTACATCATTACTAATCAAGAATCAAACATACATGTGTGAAAAAGAAATCGAAGAAATCTTTTTTCTTCTTGTAGAGTTGTGATCTCTGGTATAGATTGTATCCCGGTCAAGGCGGATCAACGGCGCCGGACAACATGAACGGATGTACGGCGTTCGTTGGAGGTGCAGACGGCCATGACAGAGAGACAGACGACCAGAATTATGAGGAGATGTGTAAATAAACTCGAACTATCATCGTCACCACCACCACCACAACATGAAGACATACACATCCCACCCATTCTTCTTGTGTCCTTAAGATCCGATTATGAGTCTAAGGAAGATGAAAATGAAGATTGAAGAGATGAAGTTAGATGAGATGGAGCTGTCTTTTAATGGTAGTGAGTTTTGGATTAATGGTTATTTGTTCTCGTTGTCATTAGTTTTTAAATGGTTTTTGTAGGACTTGATTCAGCCAACTTCGTGAGTTTATTTATTAAAGTATTCTAATTCTAATACGTTTTTTGTTTTGTTTTTATTTACCAATTCTATTTACAATTGTTATTATGATGGTCCGGAGACTTTGGCATGTTTGTTAAATGTATTGTCATCTACGTACTTATATTCAACTAGTTTCTTTTTTAAAGATGATCTAATGGATCCCTTAAATTTTTGCTAACAACGTATTATTATAGACTTAATATTGGAATTTTCGGTTGTAAAGAAAAATTGTATTTTATTAGCCAGATGATCTAGTGATTTTGCCATGTTTCGATTGTACACAGAATTTCGATTTTCATTGTATATAACCCATAATTAAACGATCATTTGGTTTGAACTAAAAGAAGAAAAAAGATCGTGAAATGTGTACGATAGTTCATAGTTGACTAGTTGTATATCTTAAGAGGTTACAGGAGTAAAATGTCTTTTATATAATCTGGCCGTGATGTGGCTGACGTGTGGAGCACAACTCGCATGCAATTTCAAAACATTTGAGCTTTGTGCTTCTTTTTTTTGTTCGTTTTAATCGAAACGCCCATTTGACCCAATACTTCAAGTTCTGTGTTGAATATCAGCTAAAGAGAAGAAAACAAAAATGCTTCCAGTGTATCGAGTAAGAATAGAAAGCTCCATTTGACAAGGTATAGAGAGAAAGACGCTGGACGAGGAAGAGTGTATGATAGTTGTAACTTGTAAGCAGACCATGGGTTACACATATCATGTCTAATTCAACAATCTGATATCAAAGCATACTTAAGGATGATGGATCCTTAGATCCTATTTAACAACTTGGTATATATCAAAGCCAAGTTATCATCCCCAAGACCCAAATACAATAAAAACAACACTTGAGTATTTTACGTTACTTATAAGTTATTTTTCTCAACGGTATTTCTATTGCTTTAACAAAAAAAATAAACGTTTTTCCTACTTTTGTACGTGTAAATTTAGAAGGAAGTTATGTGATTTTTCTTCTATTTTAAAAAACGGACATATATCTCCAAATACTTTAATTCATCACTAATCAAAATGGTAAGAACCAAAACATACATGTTTAAAGAGAATCCGAATGAAATCTGATATATAGATAATCTACCGGTCAATGGTAGGTCAACGACGCCGGATAACACGAACGGTTGTACGGCGTTCGTTGGAGTTGCAGACGGCCATAATAGTAAAAAAGACGACGAGAATAATGACAAGATGCAGTATTAAACCATTGTTGTCGCCACCACCACCACACATCCCACCCATTCTTCTTCTTCTTCTTGATTCTCGAAATGAAGATGAGAATGAAGAGGAGATGAAGTTAGTTATATATGAGAATGATCTATCTTTAACGAGTTCTGATTGGTAATTTCGTTATGTTGTCGTTAGTTTTTAAATGATTTTTGTTGGACTTGGTTCAGCCAACTTAGTTATAAACTGAATAAATCTATTTTGATGGTCCAGAGACTTAAGACATAGTCTCGCGTCGATTTATAATTAACTAGTCGACATGTTGTTTTCTTATTGTGTTGTTTACGTAGGAAAGTTACTTGTTTAGGTTAAGTATTCTTCTTATAAGTTAGTAATAACATGTCACTAAAGACTTGCGAGTTGGCCCTTTTTGTTGGTTATCCAGAAAGTTGTGTTTTCTTACTCTTGTGAGTTTTGTCAAGTTTGTTTAATCTTTACGAAAGTTTAACCAATATGTTGACATCTAAGTAGGTTTCCAACGTCCAACGGGCTGATATTTTAACAGGCGTATATATAACTTGGACGTGAATGCGACTAACGTGTGGAGAAGACAACTCACGTACGGTTTCAATATATTTGGGCTTGTGTTTATATATCTAAGAAACCCATTTGACCCAATGCTTCAAGGATGTTTCAGAAAATGTAAATCGTATACACATCGTCTAGTGGCAAGCGGCAAGTGGAAGAAACTGATACTTGGTTCCAAATGTTTCAAACTCAAACCTATAACTAGTAATTATACCTAACACGTCCCCTAGACCTTTTGTCGGTTCCCAAAGGCCGATTTCCTGTTTTTGTTTTAGTGATACGTAAAGGGCCACGACGCATTTTCCTATATGAAAGAAAATTGTAATAACAATCTCAAGTTTAAGTCTTCGGAAATCAAGCTTTACACTCTACACCATAAAAATATTGAACTATTCGTCGCTTTCTTAATGGAATAAACTATAAGAAGAAGACAAAAGAGGAGATGTCCTCAAACGCTTGAGAAATTGCTAGGTGGGTCTTAGAGTTAAAGTCTTGGTTCTTGTAGATCTCTATTGAAGTAGTTTTTTTGGTCAACAGAGATTTGGGGCATCGGTTCAATCATGTCTTGAGAATTGAGATCATTTTTATTATAAAAGAAATCGATCTTAATTTTGAGATGTTACGTTTCTGAATTCTAAAGTCGCTCCAATTCTAGCCTAAATGTAAATGTGGTCGATAAATTCACACACATGGAGATGTGGTCGATGAATTCAGACACTACTATACAGACAGAATCTGAGGGGAACATAGTTGCATGGACCTGACTCAGCATGGATATTTTTAACCTCCCATATTAACACACGTGTCAACATGTCTGAACCCGTACGTTAATTAAAATCACACCCAGTGAAGCCATAATTATTGTAATCACGCTCTCGTGATTTACAACTTGACATGACGTGGCTTTCTAACAGTACCACGTCGGATTTTCTCGGGACAATACAACGTTATTATCCACTTGCTACTGTTTCCGTTTTCAGCGTAACCTCGATGTTTACCTAAATCACGTGAATATGATTGTGTTTTTCCAATAATGCTTGGAAATAATTTTGTTTTTATTAAAGTGTATGGATTAATTTGTTGTTAGTTGTTAGTTAGCTACTTATTTAAAAGTATTGTATTCGTAGGCCAACAAAGCACATCACAATGATACATACTATATATCGACCAATCAATCAAAAAATATATTAAACTAGTAAATTATTCGGTGTATATAGTCACCTCCGATCATAACGGTTGTGGATATTGTTCATTGAATCCAGCAATAATACGTTTATACAGTTAATTTGGATAAGATTGTTATTTTGTCTCGGTATTCCAACTGTTTCACAAACTTGTCATAGAATACAATTCATGAAACTAGATGAAGAACTTTGGATACAAATCATAGAACAGTTGGTTCTTTCATTCGTTTGAAATGGTAAAAGTAAATATCCATGCCAGTGCGTATTACTATTACTTAATTACCTTTTATATTAAAATGAAGTACTTGATTCCAAATTGTCACGATCGATTGATCTTTATCACTCATTTTTTCTCCGTGGAACTATACCACTAGAAAAACTTTTACGTCTTGAACAAAAATGTTAAATATGAAAAAAAAATATATAAAAAAAATGTTAAATATGTTTTCGTTAATTGTTGATTTTTCGTGGTCGCATTTGAAGATCAAATACCGTCAATGAAAAAGGAAAAAAAAAACCGAAAAGGCAAATTTAAGCGGCTACAAGTGTGGGAGCATTGTGGTGACGACACGTGTAATGCCACGAGGTCACCGTTTATCCACTTCCTTTCACATTTCTGAATGTTGCTGTTTCTTATATAAACCAAATCCAAAAGCCGTAAAGAAATCCACAATCCAAGGATTTTTGAGTCGAATATCAAATCATCACCTTTTCTCGATTTCTCGTATTCCATTTTATCTGCTTCTACAAATTGAGGTGTTTCGAATAAACGATTACAAATCTCATCTTCGCTTTCCTCTTCTTCTTCTCTCTCTATCGCTCTTTGATTTTTCGATTTTGTGTATCGAACTTTTTCTCTGTCAAATGGAGGTCTCAGTGATGGGAAATCCTCAAGCGAGGATCTTCAGAGCAGAATTAGCTTACAGGCAGCTCGGATTTAGATTTGGGTCGGAAGTAATCTCCGGCGAATCGAGAAATAGGGTTAGTTTCTGGAGCCAGAGCTCGAAATGGAAGGAGATCGGGATCCGGTGCTCCCCGAGCTCTGTCAAATGCCAAGCCATCGTCTCCGATCAAGTTCCCTTTCCGAAATCCACTCCAAAATCCAGATCGGTAAATTTAACAACCATCTCCTCTTCTCCTCTCCTTTGATTGCTACTGTTCTTAGCTTTATATCAATTTCAAAATGGCTCAGATTTACTCAGATCCTGTAGTTTACTTATGAAATTTGCTTAGCCGAGCTCGCCATTTAAGCTTTGCTCAAATGATACTAATCCAGATTAAATTTCTATGAAAAACAGAAACTTAGCAAGATTTGTCTTTGATAGAATTGTTCTGCATCCAGTAAAACATCAAGAGATTATCGTTAAACGATGAATATATAATAAACATGTTTCCTTGGTTGCAGCTCGAGAGCGTGAAATTATTCGTGGGGCTTCCACTGGACACAGTTTCAGACTGCAACAACGTGAACCACATGAAAGCCATCACGGCTGGGCTCAAAGCTTTAAAGCTACTCGGCGTAGAAGGCATTGAGTTGCCAATCTTCTGGGGAGTGGTTGAGAAAGAAGCTGCAGGGAAATACGAATGGTCAGGCTACTTAGCAGTCGCAGAGATTGTTAAGAAGGTTGGACTCAAGCTACACGCTTCACTCTCTTTCCACGGATCGAAACACCCGGAGATCAGTCTCCCTGACTGGGTGGCAAAGATCGGCGAAGCTGAGCCAGGGATCTATTTCACAGACAGATATGGACAACAGTACAAAGACTGTTTATCGTTTGCGGTGGACGACGTTCCTGTTCTTGATGGGAAGACTCCTATGGAGGTTTACAGAGGTTTCTGTGAGAGCTTTAAGTGGGTTTTCTCAGATTACATTGGCAACACAATCACGGTATGTAATATCATATTTGTTTTGCATTTCACCTTCACAATTTATTTGGTTTTAGTTGCTGATTTTCTTGGTCTATGGTTTGCAGGGAATCACATTAGGTTTGGGACCAGACGGCGAGCTAAGATATCCTTCTAATCAACACGACACCAAACTCTCCGGCGCAGGAGAGTTCCAGTGTTACGACAAACACATGCTTTCCGCTCTCAAACAGTACGCTGAATCCACAGGAAACCCTCTTTGGGGACTCGGTGGTCCACATGATGCTCCTGCTTACGATCAACAGCCTCATTCCTCTTCCTTCTTCTCAGACGGCGGGTCCTGGGAATCTCAGTATGGAGATTTCTTCTTGTCTTGGTATTCGTCTCTTCTCACCTCCCATGCAGACCGAGTCCTCTCTGTTGCTTCATCAGCTTTCAGCGGAAGTGGAGTATCTCTATGTGGGAAGCTACCTCTCTTACATCAGTGGCACAAGCTAAGATCTCAGCCTTCTGAGCTAACGGCTGGATTCTACAGCTCTAGTGGTCAAGATAGGTATGAGACAATCGCAGAGATCTTTGCAAAGAACTCTTGTAGGATGATAATACCGGGAATGGATCTATACGACGAGCATCAATCACCGGAAACTCTCTCGAGCCCCGAGACATTGCTTTCCCACATCAAAACGTCCTGCAAGAAACAAGGAGTGGCTATTTCAGGGCAAAATTCATCAGCCCCAGTCCCTGGTGGGTTTGAGAGAATCACTGCGAATCTGAAGGATGAGAATGCAGGAATTGATCTGTTCACATACCAGAGAATGGGAGCACTTTTCTTCTCTCCAGAGCATTTCCATGCTTTCACTGTCTTCGTCCGGAACATGAACCAATTCGAGTTGTCTTCAGAAGATCAAGCAGCGAAGCATGAGGCTGAGACAGTCACCATAGGTTCAGGGAGTGGTGCAGCTAGTTTGCAAGCCGCTTGATGAAATTCCAGATTCATAGGTGTATGTGTAAATAACCAAGTCTACTGTTTTCTTAGCATTTATATAGGTGTTGTCGTATCCACTATTTGCATCCATGTCTTCTTAAAACTCAGAAATCCTGATTCTTGTTTCCGTTTAGTAATTTTATACACAAGGTTAAATGAAAATGGAGAACAGGCAATACACAAAGACAAAGGAAACTAAGATTAACAATTACAAGAGAACGTATGTTTTCTTCTTTTACAAGATCACAATTTACAAAGTGCTACAAGATACTCTTCCAAAGATATGAAACAGCGATGCCTTTAAATAAAAAGCGTTATAAATCAATCATTCACAAGCGATTCTGGTTTCAAAGCTGCTCAAGCAAATGGCAAAAGCCTGGAAAGCTGAGATAGGGTATCCATAATCCATGGTGAACATATCTTTCCCGACTTTGCCAAACTGCAGTATTATCCGCTCGCTTTGGCTCTCCGGTGACAATCCACTGCCACCGCCACTGTTACCGCCAGCTGCTGCAGCCGCTACCAGCTGAAAGTTCTTGACTGAAGCCACTGTGACACGGCCATGGAAATTCAAGCACCAGCAACGTAGCTGCTCGTGCCATCGTGGTGTCTTGTTGCTCAGCACTAATGGTGTCTCTTTCAGGTAGCTCGAGCCGCTGCTGCGTAATGGTTTTGACTGAGACCTGGAAAAGCTCGACCGAGTACTTAGGAATGGAAACTCTGATGGTTCTCCTCGAGGCTCCATTGCACTTGTAGGCACTGTATCCATCACGCACTGCATCTTTCTTGGTCCCCTATTAGTTTCATCAAGAGATTACAAATCTTGTTTTTGTACAAATCCACACACACAAAAGAACTGTTTGAAGAGAAAAGTAGAATCTGAACAAATCAGTACCTGGAGCCTAACACATTCAACTCGTATGTGATATGAGCGACAGGGTAACTTCCAAGAGGAATCTTACGTGAAACTCTTGCCGGATTAGAAGATCGACTCTTTCTTAGCTTCGCGGATCCACTTGATGGCATAAGATTCCCATCAAAGACGGTGAATTTTGTTCCAAGGAAGTTCGATCTTCGAAAAGGTTTAGAAAAAGGAAAAACATCAGCAAGATGTCAGATACGTTTATCGACAATAAAAGAATAAACCAGCAAAGCACCTTCAATGGAAGTGGGAATGTAATAAGTTCAATAAGTTGAAAATGACTAACCAACCAGTCAAATTAGTGGTTTTGATCATATATATACGCACCTCACTTTGCCGACATACGCTTGACTTCTCCTCGACATATCATCAGAACGCAAAGAGATTATATAATCAGTGCAAGTTGTGTGCTTTAGCTTACACGCAGCTAACAGAAACTTCCCATCATCCGTCAAAGCTGCAGGGACCATAAAAGAAAGAAGATATCAATCTCACAATTTCAGAACCAAGAAACAGGAGAAGAAAAACAGAGTCCAATAAGTTTATTTTAGAAGCTCACAATTGGTTAATCCAAGATATAGATGATATGATTGCGTGTTTCGGTTCCGTTTAATGAAGCACTGAACCAGAGAGTCCCTTGGGCCAGGCTGCAAACGATACACACCAACAAAGCAACAATCTTTTTAAAAATCATTCATGTTTCTCTAGAATTCAACAAAAATCGTAACTTTATGTCTTAATTCAATCAAAATGGCCATACACCTATACATCTATAAGCAGGGAGAGAGAGAGAGAGAGAGAGAGAGAGAGAGAGAGAGAGAGAGAGAGAGATATGTAGAGAGTGGTTGGGAAATGGAACCTGTTTGAGAGAGATGGGGAAAGTCAATTTAGAAGAGATCTCAGGGACAGCGACGGTTTCGTTCATGAGTAGCCGCCAGCTGCGGCAGACGCCGGCGCAAGCCACCACGCTGCGTCGAGACGGCCAATCGCCACCGTCAGCTGCCTCAACCCGGATCAGAACTTCTCTCAGAAGCTCTTCCGGGATCTCTGACCAGCGATAAGGTCCCGAAGAGCCAGGAGAGGAACCGGCGGCGGCGGCGGCGAGGTCGTGGACAACACGATGCGGCCTCGAGCGCATCTCCAGGATTAAGCTTCGTAAGGTCATGCAAATTCAGGGGATGATTGAAGAAGAGATGACCGGTAAGTCGGTAACGTTGATAGGTAGTGGAGAAGAGAATGATATTGGGTTTAAGGGAATTGGTAGAGAATTGATTGAGAGGTTTTAGGTGGGAGGAGGAGAAGAAGAAGAAGTGGTGGTGGTGTTGTTGAGAGAAACAAGCATGTTAGATTTCAATCAATTTTTTTCTTCCTTTTGTTCTTACATGATTTACAGTTGACAAATGAAAATTATACATTATGATGTTAATCCATAAAACTAAAATTTAAGTATAAAACATCCTCTTTATTCAATTGATGTCGAATTAATTATTAATCAGTCATCTTCACAAATTCATAGGATGACAGACAACATTTGTAGTTTTATTGTTTTGTTTTACCCAATAAAATATATGCATTTAAGTAAATTAATTTGTTCTGATGGTAAAATGTAGAAAGCATGAGTATATTATTACAGTTGAATATTACGTTACCATGAGGAAAAATACAATTCTGGTTGTTAAGAAAATGATAAGAACCAATGGTCGCTGAGTAATCGGTAGGTTGGATAAGATTCCGTCTCTAATAGGAAACTAATAATTAAAATTTCCAAAGCTAGCATTTGTAAAATACAGTATGTATACTTTATCGACAAATTGAAAAATGTTTTCGTCATGAACTAAAGTTATATTCATAATTTTTTCATATCACAAATTATATCTTCTTTATCAGAAGATCACAAATTTATATTCTTCTCAAATTACTACATAGTGTATTCATGTTTTAATATACAACTTCAGGTAAAGTGTGAAACATATTTTTGTATTTATTTAGATATTAGATACAGTTTTTAAAAGCCAGCGTCCAGCGAAGCTTCTGTGGGCTATATAAATATTACAAAAGGCATTACATAAGGAGGCCCATGGGTCCACTTTTTTAGAAATATCTAACTATCGCTCACTAATCTAGTAGTAGGCCATGCTTTTCTTCTCTCTGTCCCTTTTCTCTTTATTACCTTCAATTCAGTGTATGGAGAAGAAAAGCTTTTCAAAGTAGTCCAAAACCAAATTTAAAAGAGATCTCAGTAGTAATTAGAAAAAGCCATACAAATCGAGTGCACTTAAGCTCTTAACCCTACACTTGACTTCTCTCAAGGGAAGGTACCACGTCTTATCAAGACCAACAAACAAAAAAAGATACCACACGTCTTACCGAAGAACATTCATGATTCGATAACCATAGATCATTTATGTATTTAAGATACACAAAACAAAAGTAAAACATTGGGTGGGTGGTAGCAGCGTAGGTTAGCATCATGCTTTTTTTTTTCTACATTCGAATGATTGGACAAACCAAAAGCGGGTACTCGTACATAGTTATATTAATGCTCTAATCCCTTAGTGTTAGTGGTTATGTCCCTTTCTTCTTTTAAAGCCAAACCTAACTAATTTGTTGACAAAAGAAAAAGGCATTTCAATTGTTTTTAGATAACAACAATCGTAAGAATAAAAAATCTAGATAAGCATGGCCATGGGTGCTTAATTCATTTAATATACTTCCGCACATTGTCATGTATTTAACAGTTTTATACAGATATTAATTGTAAAGAGTACAAAGTGTCGACATTTGATTATCAATGTGTATTCTAGAAACACCATTTCAGCTTGTAATTTACATTTCATAGTTAAATAGCTAGATTACAAACTCGACCGACCATGATCGGTTACTCATATGTCCTATAAAAAGCAAACAGTATACTAATTACTAAACACACACACATGATTCTGATGTTTGTGAGGTTTACAACCGATTAAGATGTGATCCACAGTTTGATTCTCTCCAACTTTGGAATTTTTTAACTTTATCATAGAAATATGTTTCCTTTTGTAGCAGCTCGACAACTTCCTGTTTCTAAATGCGTGCAAACATAACACAATGTTCGTTGATGTTAATGAGTTCGACTCAAATACAACATCTTGTCATCAGTTACAGCCGACTTTGAAAATGCATTTGATTTATGATGTCAAAAAGATACATTTTGATTTATTTCACCGGTTTGGTTTTGGTTTTGGATTCTTAAAGCCGTTTAAACTTATGGGTATGGAGTACAAGCCTGGGCTTGGGCTTCTAGTGCGTACGATGCGTGGTCACTGGTCAGTATCTCTATATTTTTTTCTTCTTTTTCAATTCCCCAAGTGAGTTGTATATGTTTTGTTCTTTACAAACCGGCATCGATCTTTATCAAAAATCGCTTGGGACTGTTTCTTCTTGTTATCAGAGTCCTAGCCATTAATTGAATTTGGATTTGATGCTTTATGCGCAACAATATATACTTCTTCCTTTCATTTAATGAACAAAACATGTTGAGACTCACCGAAACTTATGATTTACTTGTTTATCTTGTATTAGTAATGTGGTTGTATTACTATCAGGCGTACAATCTATATTCAAACATGATAAAAATGCGTCCGAGTTGTTAAGAAGAAGAAACATGTTGCGCTTACCAAGTTTTGTAGAGTATGGGTACTTTTGGTATATATATAAGCTGGAGTTTCCATATATTTTTTTTTCTTTAAAAAAAAAACAAATTTGGAGCTTCATATTGCTCCCACTAAGGAAGAGAGTAAGTGGGCACCAACACAACATCCAGTGATCATACGATCTGTCACGCACAAAACCTTAGATCATAGTCATTTATCTATATACATTAAATTAACACCGTATTTTGTAATTTGAGGAAAAAAATATACTAGAAAGTAACTAAAGTGTGAGACAGGAGAAGAACACTTTTATGCTTTGGCACTGTTAGGAGCACCTCGCAGTCACATGCATGCTCTAACTATTTTACATACTGGAATAATGCAGTTATTTGATTATACTGATATGGTTAAATATCACGTACCATATATATCGTCACCAATTTGCATATCCATATTTTATTTATTTGAGTGAATCATAGGTTCTCTATTTTATTTTACCATACGAACAATTTTTTTTGTTTATAAATGCATTCACTACGTGGCTACGTCGTAGTTAAGTCTTTAAACTCGTAAAATATTTCATTTTCAATTGTCTTAGGTCCTTTATTTAAGCTTTTCTAAAAGGTCCTTTATCAGGAAAAAGGAAAAAGCAACAGCAGAAACAGACAAATGAAGCTCACCTAAACAAAGATTCTCCTATTTAACACACAATTTTCTGTTACATCGGTATTTTGGAAATTATAATATATATTGCTTATATAAACATATACACATAGACATAATTAATAAGTCATGCACTAGCTAATGCTATATCGATTTTGTATGGTATCAAACTCTAATCGTCATTTGGTCATTAACACATAAACTTGAGAGCAAATGATGTCGATCATCGTTGGTACGTATTTTAATACGCATACAAATGATTATTGAATCGAAATGATTAACATCGACTCGCAATGTCATGAGGGTCAGCAACAATTAATTAAGTATTTGATATATAGCTTAATTCGAGAATGTTTTACATCTGTACAAACACGTGAGAAAACGTTCGTTGATGTATAAGAAAAGTGAACTATAGTAGAGCAGCTACTAGTGCACGAAGCCGGAGTGAGGCGGAGGAGATGATAATGGAGAGGAGTAACATTCCCACGGAAGGATAAGACGGCGGAGCAGGAGAAGAAACAGGCGGAGAAGCGAGGGGAGCAAATGCCAGCGGGTCAGGGTAGGAGGAGTCGTCGCTGGGGTCGGGATCAGGAGGGCTTGGGGAAGAAGGGATTGTGCCGGCTCCGTCGTCGGAAGGTAAAGCCTTCCCAGGGGAAGGGAGGAGAGGAGCGATCTCCGGAGAAAGCTGTTGCAAGGAAGAGATGGTCGGAGAAGATGTCAAAGAAGAGAGAAAAGCAGGAGAGGAGAGAAAGATGAAGACGATGATGATGAGAAGTTTATTGAGAGGAGAGGAAGCCATCTTCTTATTTTTTGGGTTTAAATGATGAAAATAAAAGTTGAGTTTTTTTGTTGGATCTGTCTCTCTCTATCCAGTGATCGGAGTGTATTTTGAGTTGTAATGATGATGTCTCTATATAAAAGAAGCTTTCTTGTTTAAATAAAACAAAAATAATGTGTTTTTTTGAGGAAAGGAGAAGATCTCGTAGCTCTTCTTTGCAAAACTAAAGTATATGTATGGCATGTGACAATTTCCAATGAGGGACTTTTGTATGATAGTCAATCTCTACATGACTATATATCCCCATGGTTAATATTTTGCTTTAGTTTGGCTATTCTACCAACATTGTATATACATAATCGATCTTTAGCAATTAAATTGTGTTGTATATTATATTTCTAAAACTAAACCGATTATTAGACAATTCCGAGTGTTAAACAATAACTGCATAACACTTCAGTTTATTTGTTTTCGTTGGTAAAATGTTACAATAATTCAGTTTAATTTAGTTTATGGCATTTGAGTTGCGTAAGTCTATTATTGGAGTTGGTTAAGTGGGAGGGAAAGTTGATGTTTCTGTTTACCACGTGGCGGAACTTAAATGGTTAATGTGTTTGGATGATATAATTGAAGACTTTGAATTTTGTTATAAAGTGGAGGGATGATTCCTTTTCGTGGTTTGTCTTTTACACTTTAGAAAAGCTCTACTATAAATAATACAGACATCATGATATTTGAATTGAACTAGATGTGTATCTAGCTAGTATCTACACAATAAAAGTCGTAAAAACAGAAGACCCTAAGATTTACCCAAAGCAACTAGTCTTTTTTTCTTTCTCACATCAGCATTAGATTTTTTTGTTCTTTAATTGTCAGTCTAGACTAGTCTCAAGTCTGAATTAAACATGCTTTAGATCTGCCTCGGACATTCAACATATGTGTGTAAAGTGTAAACTAGAAGAAGATAATTTTGAAGGATGAAGTTAGCAGTTGTAAAAAAGAGACGATAAATGTTGATTCTGGGTTTCAATGTTACATGGTTTTGAGCTTGTTTACCTCGTACATACTCAAAGATCTACAGCTCAGCATCATTGTCTTGTTTATCAGCGAGAAATGACGAAAATGTAAAAAGACTTGCATTAAACAAATAACAATAGAAAGACGTAATCATTATCAATGATTAAACTGTAACCTTGTTCAGAAACCTTCAAACTCAACGAGGCAATCTCTGCAACTCCATGGCAACGAGCGAAGCGACGCTATCAAGACCAGCCACGTCTGAGTTTTTAATCTCAGAAACAATAGCGTTGATCTTAGAGACATCGTGTCCTGAGATCGACAAAATCATCGCCTGCGATAGATACTGTTTGCACGCGTAACCCAAACAATGCAAGACCCTCTTCAGAACCAACGAGTTTACCTCCGTGCTCTTCCTCATGCGCCACGTGTCGAGAATCGGTGTCACCTTCGGAAGATTGGTTAAAAACCCCGTCGTGGCTTCTCTCGAAGCCGCTTTAAGTAGCAACACGACGCATTCAGAGGCGATATCTGCGGCTGCGATGCTGCTCGTGTCATCCAAACCAGCGAGGTGCAAGAATAAACCGATGTTGCTCCCGAAATCTGCAATGTCTCTTATGCATTCTTGTGGATCGACTTCGAATGTGAAAGATGTCTCTGATAAAAGCGTTGGCTCTTTCGTGTAGTTGGAGCTGAGACCTTTCTTGTTACCAAGTGACCGAAGCAGAAAAGCTCTGCAGAGATTTAAAGTCGGTTCGAGGAAATCTTCCATGTCTTTGGCATTCACGAATTCCAACAGATTTCCGATTCTCCTGACTACTTGGAGCTGAGAAAGTAGTTTAGTTTCCATCTCTGGAGCTGAAGCTAAGGCGAGGCAGAGCTTGACGTTGTTCACGTTCGCGCTTGATAAGTCGCCGAGAAGAAACTCGAAGCACTGTGAGACTGTGTTCTGATGCAATATGTTGGAGATTTTGATGTAATCAAACTCAACGAGCATGACGAGGAGCTTCTGAGCGTAAGCTGGGATTGGATCTTCGTCTTGGATCAGTGCAGGGTAGAGTGGGAGGAAATGAGAGTTGGATATTGATTTCAGATCCTCAGATGTCTGTTGCTCGATCTCGGTGCACTCGGTTAGGAGAATGGTCATTGAGTCGAACCAGATCTTCAAACAGAGAAAACGAGCATCCCCGTCTTTGTTCCCATTGTAAATTGCAGCCAGAGATGGGAGAATCTCACGGATAATAATCTCAGCATTTTGTGTGACCAGAGGAGCATCTTCTGTTATGGATTCCAGGACTTGAAGAAGGGTTATACGGAAGTCATCTCTTCCCTGCAAATTGTTTTCAAGTCATGAGAATTCGCAACAGATTAGCAAACACAAAGCACTTCGTTTGAACTAAAAGAGTAATATAAAAGGGGACGGCAAAGTTGCAATACTGACCTGAAATGTTGCTTCCACAAGTTTTGTAAGATTTGCCAACTGCCTTAGGACTTGTGGAGTAACCATTTTGTTCTTAAACGAAGAGCTTCCAAGAAGATGAAGGACCACAGGGAATAAGTGTGCATTAGTCTTTATAGCTGATCTACTGTTAAGAGGAGAGACAGGTCCATGGCGTCTTCCTGTCATCAGTTGCTGGATATCATTGGTTATTGTATCAAGCAAGCCCGGAATTATGGAGGCGATGACATTCACAAATGCCTCAAGACATTGTTGCACGTAACTGTCTTTTTCTTTAGCTAATCTGTCCACCACAGGAAGAAATCTTGCATTGCAGAAGAAATTCGTCAGCCAACGCCTACTGTTTTTGCAGAGAAGTGCAACAAAGATAAGAGCTTTGCCTCTCAGGACTTCAGTTCCTTGCTCTATGATGGAGAGCAAACTAGGGAAAAGGTTTTTCTCTTCTGTTAAAGTCACAAGATGCCTTCCAAAGCTTGTGAACGTGTGACTTCCAATCATAGCCATGTTCAGAAGATTCAAGCAGAGTTGCTGCTCCCGTGCGCTGCCTTTGACGAAAGATGAAGCTATTTCCTTCAACGATAGCTTTTCCACAACCGTCTGGATGCAAGGAGGGTTAAAACGAGCAAGACGGACCAAGCATGATCCAGCAGTCTGCCTCATGCTCTCCTGTTTCCCAACTGCCTTGTAGATATAGCAGAGGTTGCTAATCAAATCTTGGCTGGAGAAACGGGTGGCCCAATAAGCTCCTTGACTGCAGATGTTTTCTATTGTCCTTAACGCGTAGAGCTGAGTCAGGTCATCTTCTCCTTTTCGTAAGACAGAGGACACAAGAGAGATCAAGGCATTTGAAACCTAGTTCAAGAAAACAAGAATCTATTTAAATAGGAAACAATGAAAAGATAGAACATTCAGATTAAGCAATGGACCAAAATAACACCATGACCACTAAAAGCCAAATGACCACAAATTTAAGAGTAATCCAGGGATGCTGACCTGCCATCCCGAAGCGGACCGGGTTTCTTTGGATGGAGATTCTGTTGGTTTGAAATCCTTATGCTCATTTTGTGTTGAGATGTAGAATAGCAATTCCCCTAGAGCTGCCATAGAGAACCTTCTCACCTTTTCATGCTTGTCTCTGAGGCCATTAGTAAGAGACTCTAAAATACCAGAATTTGCCAAGTCATCTTCGATTGAAGTAGAATGCCGAATTAACAAACCAATAAGTGAAGCAATTTGTACACGAAACGCTGGGGTCTTGGATAATCGCAGAACTTTAACAAGCACAAGCATTATTGGCCCGTTGGTCAAGATGTTGGCAGCATCAGCATTGCTACTCAATGTCTCGAGGTATCTGATCAGATTCTGTTTCTCTGAGATGCCAGCACTGCTCCCACTTAGAACCGTTATGATCCTGTTGTTAAGCGGTTCTAATTCTTGCTTTCCCATCTTACCAAAATCAGAAGGCTGTGGTGCTTCGAATGAGAGGGAAGGCACGGATTCTTTGTCAGATTTTCTGCTGGGCATGACCGGTCTAACAGAGAGATCAGACAAATGCCAAAGGACGTCACTGAGGCTATTAGGCGTTTTAGATGAGTCATGATTAACAGCAACCCCTGAAACTTCTCTTCCTCGGTGAGTTTTAAGTTGAGGACTAGCACTAGGTGGCGCAGCTGACATTTCAATAGGCTCTGACTGCTCTTCATGGCAATCTCTTGCTTCACCTGAGGTTGGTGTTTCATTTGCAGACGAGTTCTCATCAGGTCCATTATTGCCTATAACTCCTTGTCTTCTGTGACTCTCATTTTGACTAGAAACTCTCTCGTCTTGTGCAGAAGAGGTGTTCTCGGTTCCTTCTGAATCATCAGGCCCCTCATCATCATTGTTTTCATCAAAATCAAGTTCCATATCAGTGTTCTCGATCTTCACTTCAGCACAATTCTCGTTGCTATTAGGTAAGGGTCTCCTGTAGTTTTCCTTCTCATTTTCCTTCTGGAGATTTGCCATTGCTATCCTTGACAATCTTAGAATATTCACCTGTCTGTTGTTAGCACCGGGACGACCTCCATGCTTTTCTTCAGATGCCTTATTAGGTACCTTTGTTTGAGCTTTAGAACCACCAGGTGTACCCTTTACCGGCGTCGCATAGCCTCTTGAACCTTGACTGGAGTTCTCATTGTGCTTTGAACCCCCTTTTGAATCTTTCTCCCGAGACTTTGGAGGGGTCTTGTTTGGCCTGTCTCCATTACGCTCGGAAAGACATGGCTTTGTGCATATGCCAATCATATCATCAAAAACAGGCTGTGGAGGCAACTGAACTAAGCTTATGTTACTCTTCCAAAATGCATGACCACAGAGATCCGCCCATTGTATCCTTTGAGCTGGGTCTTTGATAAGAAGAGACTCAATGAGATTGAGGAAGGAACGGCTTGCATTTCCAGGGAGCGGAGGAGTTGGATCTGAATGAATAGATTTCACCAGCTGAGTGAACTCCCTTGCCACAAAAGGAGGTCTCCCTGTGTAGCATTCATATAACACACAGCCAAGTGCCCATAGATCAGAAGCAAAAGAATGGACCCCTCCATCTTCATACAGTTCTGGAGCCATATAATACGGGGTACCACGTTTTCCCTGATACAAGTGAGCACAAGAGATAAAAGTCTTTAAGACATACAGTTTACAATGTAATCTAAGATCATATATTCCCTAATACTGTAAAGCTTATATAAAAAGATAGGCGGACAAAACTATTTACCGTGGAAGGAGATTGGGTGATATCATCTAGCTTCCTTGCCAATCCAAAATCACAAAGCTGCAACTCACAGTGATATGAGATCATTCAAACCAAATAAACTACACACCTGCATATAAAAGAGAGCAACATGCGTACCTTAATATGCCCGTTTTCATCAAGTAAGATGTTTGATGGTTTCAGATCACAATATATAATTCCTTTCGAATGTAAATACCTGAGAAATTCAGGAAAACAATAATGTCCGTAAGAGAAAACATTTTCTAGATGCACCTAGAGATAGTGTAAATGAATAAAAAGGATCTTACAGCAGGGCTATAACAAGATCATAGGCAAGAGCATAGACTGATTCTTCTGGTAGCTTACAGTCCTGCAGAAGAAAATACTTTCAGAAAACCTGTGACCTATTATCAATTAGACACCCAAAACTACAAGTAATACCTGCTGCAGTAATGTCCTGAGATCACCCCCAACGCAATATTCCAGAACTAACCACATGTGAGCAGAAGTTTCATACCTGAGACAACACGACGACAATTATTAGAAACAAATACATAAAAGGAGCCAAATAATTATGTCGATATTAGCTAGTAAGCTTTACCACGCATAGAACTTGAGTACATTTGGATGATTTAGCGAGTGAAGGATCCTGACCTGAAAAAAGGAGGTGAATAATCAATTCCACCTTTCAAATCGCAAACATCATCCAGAAATAGAAGCTTAAGTACATCAATTGACGAATCTAGAGTGAATCCGTGACAATTCAGAGATAAACTCCTTAGAATCAAGCATTTAAGCATAACCGCAGGAAAATCCTAAGTAACCCAATCATGAATCAATCATTAAGCAAAGAGGAAACAGATCTAGTGATTACCTCTTGAAGAACCTTGCACTTCCGCGACTTTTCCACACTCTTACAGGCAAAATACTCAATCGTCTTCTTCTTCCTTCCTTTGTACACAGCCTGCAAAGATAATACGAACGGATTTGAACAAAACACTCCAGAAACAAAAGATTATCGGGAAATGATAAAGCGGATTATAACTTACCGAGCATTTGCCATGCCCAATAGCTTCGTAAATGTGGTACTGGTTCATCGTCTCCGAGCTTCAACTCGCCTGAGATCCGATTCGGAATCTTCGAAGCTCTAAAGCAGAACTAGTGGCCGTTGTTGAATCGATTTGGGAAGAGAGAGAAACAGAAGGGGGAAATGGAAGAGAGAAAAAATTGGAAACTTTTGAAATTCAAACCTAAAGGAAGACTGGACAAAATTAAGATAATGATTTATATTTTGAAAATATGGAAGCTAATGTTTCACCGTGGATCTATGCTTTCTTTTTCAAAAAGAGGAGGAGCTATGCAAATATTTTCTGGGCTTGTTTGGCCCATTACCTTAGCCCATATATATTTTCCCGCCAGAATGAGTTGGGAAAAGAGCTTTTTACCGCCGTGAAAAGGGCAGAGAGGTAAACTTAGCAGCGAAAACTGTAAAAGATTTTCGTTCTCCTCGAAAGTCGACGTAACCTTTCGCCACAATTTTTTTCCGACGTCGGCCTCTTAGACAGAGTGAGCTCCCTAATCGCCTTTCTTCTTCCTTATCCGCCGAAACCCACCTTTGACATTTTCGATTTAGTCTGTGTTGTTTGCGTTATCCTTGATCGAATCATTTTGCCTGTTAAACTTGATTGTATCGCTGTTTCTGATTCTGTTAGGGTTGGGTATTGATCTCTACATCACAATAGATTGCTAAGATTCTGGGGTTTTAGATTTTTTTTTTCAAATGTTTTTCAATTTGAGTAGAAATGTTTTTTTTTTTCTCTCTTAAATAGGACTACTTGAAGTTTCTTCCGATTTTGAAAATTTTAGTTGTTTACTTCTTCTTGTCTTGGCTTTTCGAAAGTTTTGCCCCTCTTATCTCTGCCGCGTTGAATTTTGAATAAATGCCTGGGAAAGAAATTGCTTGTAGCATATAATATTGTGCAAACTGTTTGGGGCTTGCTTGATTTTGATTACTCTATTTGTTCATTGTTGTATATGAAAAGGACTGAGCCTAATCAAGCTGAGATGATACTCGAGGCAAACGCTGTGATGGAAAAGACTAATCTTGACGGTGCTCAAGAGCTTCCACCTCAGACATTCTCTCACGCACCAAACACTGGCGAGAAGAGAAAGAGGGAAGGGTTGGTGAGAAAAGAAGGAGAAGCTGGAAACAGCAGCGAGAATGAAGAAGTTATTTTAGTTGGTGACACTAAAGTTATAAAAGCATTTGGTATTGATGGAGGAGAGCAGTCTCAGAGGTCTGTGTTTAGCAAGCGACAAGCTTTTGATGCACAAATCAACAGAAATCGCAAAGGGTCTCTGGTAAAGGAAGAAGCAAGAGAAGAACCAGAGAGAGCAAAACAAGACTCAACTTTTAATGACTTTGATAAGCTGAGGGAAGGAAGCAGTTTTGCAGTTGGTCAGACGTGGGCTCTTTATGATACTGATGGGATGCCTAGATTGTACGCTCACATCACAAAAGTTTCAGCTCCAGGTTTCGAGCTTAGTGTCACATGGCTTGAGCCTGATCCAGATGTTAAGGAAGAAATACAGAGGTATGATGAAGATTTGCCTGTTTCTGTTGGTAGGTTCAAACTCGGGAAAACGGAGGATATAAAAGATCAGAGAAGGTTCTCTCATGTGGTTCATTGCAATGAAGGAAGTAGCGCAGGTACATTCAGTGTGTACCCAAGAAAAGGAGAGACGTGGGCTATTGTCAAGGGTCGCTACAAGAGTATCTGCAGGTACCTTGACATTGACTGGTCAGCTGATCCCGATTCTCACTGGAAATATAATTATGCATTTGTCGAGATCGTGTCAGAGTATCCTGATAGGTCGTTGCATAAACCTAAAGGTTTTCCAGGTGTTCCTGTTGTACCTGTTGGATTCTTGCATAAAGCAAAAGGTTTCTCAAGTGTGTTTTGTCGCTTTAACAAGGAAGTTGTTCCATCCTACATTCTTCGTGGCGGTACAGAACAATTCTCCCACCGTGTTCCATCATTCAAGACGACTGGAATAGAAGCAGAAGGTGTGCCTCGAGATGCTTATGAGCTGGATCCCGCGGCATTACCTGAAAACATCAAAGAGATAGATGTCCCTTTACATCTACTGATAGAGCCCGCAGTGTCAAACTCTGACGATAATACACATTCGCAATGTGTTTACTTTGCTAGTTAAGGAATCACTTTTCAAACTGGCCAAGTCTGGTCATTTTGCAGTGGTGAAGATTACTTGCCCCGGCACTATGGCAAGATTCAGAAGATCACATTTATTCAGGCGTTTGATCAGGACCCTGTGGTTAAGTTGCATATAGGTCGGCTAAAGGCTAGAGCTATCAAAGGCGTCATCCAGTGGATCGACAAGGATATGCCCTTCGGCTGTGGGAACTTCCGGGCGAAAAAAGTTCTCGAGATATTCACTGATCTTAGCGTGTTTACACGTCAGATAAGCACAGAGGCCACTGGAGATGGAGGGAATGATTTCAGCATCATGCCCAAGACTGGTGATGTCTGGGCTATATACAGAAACTGGAGTCGTGCAATTGAAGTCGTTGATCTGAAATCTGAGACTTATGATCTTGTGGAAGTTCTTGATGATAAAGTGGACTACAAGGTTTTGCTGTTGGCTCCTGAAGGTGGCTTTAAAGTAGCTGATTCTGCAGGTTTTGGTTCGGTGTATATGGCTGCTACTGAGCATTGGATTGATGGCGCCGATTTGAGATTCACAATACCGAAATCTGAACTGCTCAGATTCTCGCATCAAGTTCCTACTTCGAAAGTAACCGAAGAGGTACATGGAGCTGTGAAAGAAGTCTATGAATGTGTTGGTCTAAAGTTTAACGACTTTGAAAAGCTTAGAGAAGAAGCAAACTTTGCAGTTGGCCAGATCTGGGCTCTCTATGGTACAGCAGATGGGGTTCCTAGGAAGTATGCTCTGATCAGAAAAGTCTCGATTCCTTCTTTTGGGCTTAGGATCACATATCTAGAGCCTGATCCTGATGGTGAGAAAGAGATCCAATGGTTTGAACAAGACTTGCCTGTTTCTGCTGGTAAGTTCAGACTTGGCAAAAGTCAGAACGTTACAGATCGTTCAATATTCTCACATGATATAGATTGCAATGAAGGAAGCAACACTGGTCATATAATTGTTTCCCCAAGAAAAGGCGAGACTTGGGCTATATTCAAGAACTGGGACATTAACTGGTCCTCAGAGCCAGATTCTCACCGCAAATGTGAGCACGAGTTTGTCGAGGTTTTGTCTGATTACGCTGATGGAGCTGGTGTATCTGTTTCATTCTTGCATAAAGCAAAAGGCTTTGCAAGTGTTTTCTTTCGGATGGGATTTGGTGATGCAGACATATTTCGTGTTTCACCTCACAGTTTGTATCGATTCTCCCACAGTGTTCCTTCCATCAGACTGACTGGAACTGAAGGAAAAGGTGTGCCTAAAGATTCTTACGAGCTGGACCAAGCGGCACTACCTGAAACAATTGAAGATATGATGGTGCCTTCTCATATACTACCAGGGCCTACCGTTTCTAAACCTCAGACAGTCTACTTTGTTAGCAAGGGGAACGTGTTTCAACCTGGCCAGATTTGGTCGTTTTGTTGTGGTCATGAGTATCCTCTGTACTACGGTAGGATTCAGAAGATCACTTTTACTCAGGAACACGAGCAGGAGGCAGTATATAAACTACACGTAAATCGGTTAAAGGCAACTCGTTTCTCTCTGGATGTGATCCAGTATGACGACAAGGAAATGCCAGTAGGTTGTGGGACTTTCCACGCGAGGAAAGTTGTCGAAACAATCACTTCGGATGACGTTTCGCTTCAGATAGTGCCTGAAACCTCGACGGATGGAAATGAATACACCATTCTGCCCAAGATTGATGATGTTTGGGTGATTTACAGATTCTGGAGTGAATACAGGGAATTCAGAAAGGTTGGATTGTGCAGCTATGACGTTGTTCAAGTTCTTGATGACACTATGGACTATAAGGTGTTACTACTGGAGCGTGAGTCCAGTTCGGATGATGATGAAGAAAATATACTCTTTCGGGAAGTTAAAGAGTACAAGAGTAACGAGATCGAAGGCTCTGAACCGATATTTACGATCCCAAACTCTGAAAGGCTCAGATTCTCGCATAAGGTTCCTGCTTCCCGTGTAACCAAGGAGATACACGGAGTGGTAAAAGACCTTATAGAAGTTGATGCAGGAGCGTTGCCTTATAACGTGACGCATCCAGACTTGCGTGGATTTTGTTAGATTTTGGTGCATTCTGTAAGAGTATCTCTATGAGGTAACAGATCATATCTATGATATGAAACATTTTTTTTGGTCCAAAGGATTCTTTAGGGGTTTAGATTATGATAAAATATTCACTGAACATTCTCTATGTTTGCTGATCCCTTTGATCCATTTGGTACTTCTCTGTTTATGAGGCTCTGTTTAGAGCTGTCAATTGGGCGGAGAGACCATGGGCGCTCCCTGTCCGCAATGTCGTGGACTGGGCCATGGTCAGGCCCAAACAAAAAATGGTCCAAATGGTCGAAGACCAATTTTGTCCACGGACAACATGGGCAAACCCATATGGGTTGCGGGCAGGTCCAATAACGAATTTTGTTAGAGTTAAGTGAAATTGGGGAAAAATGGAAAAAAACTAATTTCATTCTCTTTGCTCGATTTCTCTTCTCCTTTGCGAAATCCCACCTCACTCGAAATCAAAATCATAAAATTGTATTTTTTCTGGAAATATTAATTGATAGCGGAAATAATATTATTTCCGCTAAAATCATGAAATTGTGTTTTTCAACCAAAACCGTAAAATCTCATTTTTTTGTCAAACGGTAAAATCACAATTTTCCGCCAAAACCGTAAAAACATGTTTTCCCGCCAAAACCGTAAAAACACGTTTTCCCGCCAAAACCGTAACATCACATTTATTTTGTCAAATCCTAAAACCACAATTTTCCGCCAAAACTGTAAAAACATGTTTTCCCCCAAAAACGTGTTTTCCCGTCAAAATCGTAAAATCACATTTTTATCAAACGTAAAACCACAATTTTCCGCTAAATTGTTTTTTACATTAATATGTTATCATGGATTTACATTAATATGTTATCATGGATTTAGTTATTTTCATACTTTTATAACAGTTTGAAACAAAAAAAAACAGATATAATGGGATGTCCATGGGCAAACCCATATGGACATGGGTTTAATTTGGGCGCGGTCCGTTTCGGACCATTGTCCATATGGGCGTGGCCCGTTTTGGACCAAAAATCAAATGGTCCGTTTGGACATGGACCAATGGGCCGCGGACAGCCCAATTGACAGCTCTAGCTCTGTTTCTTGCATATGTATGTGCTTTTGAGTTGAAGAAATCTCAACGGTGGCCTTTGTGTAATCTCTCAGCAGCTTTTTCATCATGTGTTTGATTTGATATGTTTTTTAAAAGGAAAGGATTACCAAAAATGGTCAGTTTTACAAAAAAGATCTCCCACAAACAAACAATTTGTGAAGCACAAACTAAATTATGCATGATAAGTAATAAGAAAAGATAACCTTATTCTAGTCTTCTTTAAGTTGTACACAATTTTGCCAATCAGAACATTCATATGATCGTTTGATGATCCTTTGCGTTTTAATTTGTTTCCCGCCATCACCGAATGGCCTTTTCCCGCTAAACGGATGAAAATTTATTTTTAATTTAGTTACACTTTCTATTACTTTGGTACTTATCGCACGAGTGTACCGACGAATCGCCTCACCATTTCCGGCGAAGGTTTCCGCCGCCGACGACTGCCGGTTTGCTCGTTGTTGCATAAATCGATCGATTCGGTTCGTCAATTTCATCTACATGTTTTGTTTTTGTTAATTCATCCGAATCCTAGAGTTATTGCTCAATCTAGGTTACGGTGTTCTCGTTTTCTCCCAAATCGTGAGATTGGGTTTCACAAATACATCGATGGGTTCTAATTACTTTCTTCTGGTTTGAGATGCTTCACACTTTCTACACTAAAAATGACTAGACCAAAATTTGTGCCTGCGTGATTTTGGAATTGTAGGATTGTCCAATAGCTAAGTCATTCATCTCAATTACAGACATAGATTTACATCTTTTATGTGGATCATCTTACCAATGTTAAAGTTATCTTCTGCAGGAACGCTAGAGGAATAAGAATTGTCTTCTCGAGTGCTAATCGTATCTTTGATTGATGATGGATATCACTTCAAACGAGCTTCTTAGTATAAAAGGGACTTCTTCTGACGCTCGTACAGCAGTGTTTTATGCTTCTGCTGAAAATGTTCACTCCCCTGGTTTGAGCTGTGCTGTGAGTGTCGGTGATAAGAGAAAGAGGAACGAATATGCTGTACACAACGGTAGAGAAGGGTCCAATGATAGTGGAGATGCAGAGAGGAGAAACGAGTCGGTACAACCAAAGATTTCCGAATCTTCTGGTGTGAAGTTTAACAACTTTGAAAAGTTGTGGGATGAAGTTAAGTTTACAGTTTGCCAGATCTGGGCTCTCTATGATACCACAGATGGGGTTCCTAGGCAGTATGCTCTGGTCAGAAAAGTCTCAGCTCCTTCTTTCGGGATAAGGATCACATATCTAGAGCCTGATCCTGATGACGAGAAAGAGATCCAATGGTTTGAGCAAGACTTGCCTGTTTCTGCTGGTAAGTTTAGACTTGGGAAAAGTCTGAACACAGAAGATCGTTCCATGTTCTCACATGTTATGGATTGGGATCAAGGAAGCAGCACTGGTCATCTCATTGTTTCACCAAGAGAAGGCGAGACTTGGGCTATATTCAAGAACTGGGATATGAACTGGTCATCAGAGCCAGATGCCCACCGGAATTATGAGTATGATATTGTTGAGATTTTGTCTGGTAACACTGATGGAGCTGGTGTATCTGTTGCAATCCTGCACAAAGCTAAAGGCTTTGCAAGCGTCTTCTTTCGGATGGGAACTGGTGATGCAGACACACTTCAGATTCCGTCTCACAGTTTGTATCGGTTCTCCCACAGGGTTCCTTCCATCAGACTGACTGGAACTGAAGGAAAAGGTGTGCCTAAAGATGCTTACGAGCTAGACCAAGCTGCACTACCTGGAACAGCCGAAGAGAAAACCGTGCCTCCTCATCTATTTGCAGAGCCTAAACAAGAAGCTCTCTGCTTTCCTTGTGAGGGAAGAGTTTTCCAAACGGGGCAGATCTGTTCGTTTAGCGCATATTCCGATAACATCCCTTACTACTACAGAATTGACAAGATCACTCTTGTTCAGGCATTTGAGGAGAAACCAGAATTAAGATTTAACGTAAGTCGGTTAAAGGCTAAGCCTTTTGCTGAGGGAGTCATCCAGTGGAAGGACAAGCATATGCATGTTGGTTGTGGAACTTTCTTGGTGACTAAAGATAAAGGCCGTTCGGTGTTCACTCAAGATGATGTTATAAATCAGATAGTGCCTCAAACCTCCGTGGACGGAGATGAATACACCATTCTGCCCAAGATTGGGGAATTGTGGGTGACTTACAGATCTTGGACTCCTTACTTGGATGGAGAAGACTTGGAAGAGAACCGCGTGGACTTTGACATTGTGGAAGTTCTTGATGACGCCTTGGACTACTATAAGGTTTTAGCGTTGAAGCACGCGGTTCTTTATAATGAAGATGGAAAGGAAAAGGCGTTTTTTAGTGCAGCTGAGTGTAGGGCCTATGATTATTGTATCAGTGAGGATGGGTCGGAAGTGATATTTACGATTCCAAAGTCGAAAATGCTCAGATTCTCTCATCAGATTCATGCTTCCCGAGTAACTAAGGAGGTAGAGGGAGAGATGAAAGAGCTTTTCGAAGTTGATCTTGGTGCATTACCTTATTTGAGCGAGTAATTAGTAAAGGAAGTGAGGGAAGGATTAATTTTTTTGGTTAGCTTCTGTTGCATTTTGTCAAAAGGTTTGTTCTTGGCTAAGAGATGTAAGACGCTTACTTAACTCTGTCTCCACGGTTTATGTATGTTTTTCTTTTGAGATGGTAGGAAAAGAGCAGTGGTTTAGATGACGATGAGAAACTTACTCAACTCTCTCCATGTTTTATTACTCAAATTATATATGAAGGTTTTAGAACTCTCTTGCAAACATAATACACGTATCATGTTCATGTATGTGCCTTTTGACCTATAGTGACTCAAGAGCTTTATCAAAGAAAAAAAATAAAAAAAAATATAGTGACTCAAGAGCATGTAGCCCGTTCTGTGTAATTAAAACACGACATTCTTCTAATGATAACTTGTACAAAATTTTTGCCAATAAGAAAATTCATAGGATCCTTTGCGTTTTATTTTGTTTCCCGCCATCACCGAATGGCCTTTTCCCGCTAAACGGAGAAAATTAATTTAATTTAGTTACACTTTCTATTACTTTGGTACTTATCGCACGAGTGTACCGACGAATCGTCTCACCTTTTCCGGGTAAAGGTTTCCGCCGACGACGACTGCGATTTGACTTTCGTTGCTTGCTGCTGCGTAAACTGACCGAATCGGTTCGTCAATTTTATTTACATGTTTTGTTTTTGTTAATTTCTTTGTTGCATCTCGATTCTAGATTTATTGCTCAATTTAGGGTTTACGGTATCCTCGTTTTCTTCCCCAATCGTGAGATTTGGGTTTCACAAATACATAGAGGGGTTCTTAATTTCTTATTACTTTATTCTGGTTTGAGATGCTTCACACTCTCCACACTTTGTCAATTGGGCGCTTGAATGATTAGACCAGATTTTTTATCCTTATGATTTTGGAATAATAGGATTGTCCAATAGCTAAATCATTCATCTTGTACAAATAAAGAGATTTACGTCTCTATGTGGATTGTCTTGCCTAATGCTGAAATTATCTTCTGCAGGAATCCTAGAGGAAGAAGCTGTTGTCTGCTCGAGTGCTAATCGTTTCTTTGATTGATGATGGATGTGACTTCAAACGAGCTTCTTAGAAGGAAAGCTGTTTCTGAGTCCTTTATGAAAGGGACTTCTTCTGACGGCGATGCAACATTTTCTTCAGCTTCTGCTGAAAATGTTCCCTCCCCTGGGTTGAGTTGTGCTGTGAGTGTCGGTGAGAAGAGAAAGAGGAACGATGATGTTGGAATCTGCAACACTAAAAGTCCTGGTGTTGTACGTAGCATTAGAGGAGAGTCAAATGATAATGGCGATGGAGAAAGGAGAGTCGAGTTGGTACAACCAAAGAAATATGAATCTTCTTCCGGTGTGAAGTTTATCGACTTTGATAGGCTGAGGGAAGAAGAAAAGTTTGCAGTTGGCCAGATCTGGGCTCTATTTGATACACCAGATAAGGTTCCTAGACAGTATGCTATGATCAGAAAAGTTTCAGCTCCTTCTTTTGGGCTTAGGATCACATATCTAGAGCCTGATCCTGATGACGAGAGAGAGATCCAATGGTTTGAACAAGACTTGCCTGTTTCTGCTGGTAAGTTCAGACTTGGGAATAGTCAGAACACTGAAGATCGTTCAGTATTCTCACATGTTATGCATTGCAATGGAGGAAGCAACTCTGGTCATCTCATTCTTTCCCCGAGAAAAGGTGAGACCTGGGCGTTATTCAAGAACTGGGACATCAACTGGTCCTCAGAGCCAGATTCTCACCGGAAATATGAGTATGAAGTTGTTGAGATTTTGTCAGATTACGCTGGTGGATCTGGTGGTGTATCTGTTGCAATCCTGCACAAAGCAAAAGACTTTGCAAGTGTCTTCTTTCGGATGGGATTTGGTGATGCAGAGGTATCTCAGATTCTGCCTCACAGTTTATATCGATTCTCCCATAGAATCCCTTCTTACAAAATGAAAAGAGTTGAGGTAAAAGGTGTGCCAAGAGATGCTTACGAGCTGGACCAAGCTGCACTACCTGAATCAATGGAAGAGAAAGTCGTTCCTCCTTATCTATACGCAAAGCCTAAACCAGAAGCTCTCTGCGTTCGTAGAAATGGAAAGGTTTTTCAAACTGGTCAGATCTGGTCATTTTGCAGTGGTAATGTTAACTTGCCTCTATACTACTGTAGAATTCAGAAGATCACTCTTATCCAGGCGTCGGTGCAGGAACCAGAATTTAAGATACAAGTATGTCGGTTAAAGGCTATGCCTTTCCCTGAGGATGTCATCCAGTGGGAAGACAAGAAAATGCCTGTTGGTTGTGGAACTTTCTGGGTGTATAAGAGTCCTTTAGCGTTCTCTCCAGATGATGTTGTACAGCAGGTAGTGCCTCAGATCTCCATGGACGGCAACGAATATACCATTCTGCCCAAGATTGGGGAACTGTGGGCGATTTACAGAACCTGGGATCCTCAGATCACTTTCTCTGAATTGGAAAACAAGCACATGGACTTTGACATTGTGGAGGTTCTTGGTGACGCCTTGGAATATAAGGTTTTAGCGCTGGAGCCCGCATTGCTTTCTCATGAAGATGTAAAGAAAAAGTTTTTTTCAAGAGCAGCTGAGCGTAAGCCCTCTCATCATCGTTGTAACGATGAGGATGGGTCGGAAGTGATATTTACAATCCCGAAGTCGAAAATGCTCAGATTCTTGCATCGGATTCCCGCTTCCCGAGTAACCAAGAATATAGACGGAGAGATGAAAGAGCTTTTTGAAGTTGATTCCAGAGCATTGCCTTATTTGGGTAAGTATTGAGCAAAGGAAGTCTGGGAAAGTAGGAAAGGATTCTTCTTTTTTTTGTTGGTTCAAAGTTTTTCCCCAGATTAGGATGATGATTTATTCACTGAGCTTTCTCTATGTTAACTAATCCAATTAGTAGTTCTGTATTTATGAAGCTCTGTTTCTTGCATATGTATGTACTTTTGTGCTGAAGAAATCTCAACGTTGGCCTTTAGTCACCAAGAACTACTTCATTACGTGTTTGATTTGGTATACTTTCTAAAGAACGAAAATTACGAAAGAATTGTCAATTTCACTAAAAAGATCCCACCAACAATATTTGGATTATAACACAGAAATTCAAAAATCGTAAATGATATTAAAAGTATTTTTATAATCTTTTTTAAGTTAGACACAGTTTTGCAAATTTTATCAAATTTGTTTCCCGCCATTGCCAATTGGACTTTTCCCGCGCTAAAAGGAGAAAACTTATAATTTAGTTACATTTTCTTCGATTATTGCACGAGTGCACGACGAATCGTCTCTTCTTCTTCCCGGCGAAAGTCTCCGCCACTTACGACTGCTTTTTCGCTCTTGCTGCCGCTGTTGCGTGAATCGGTTAGTAGATTGTATCTCTCTATATTTTTGTTTCTCTTTGTCGATTTATTTTATCATCTACCCTGATTCCTGCACATGAATGAACCTAGTGTTGTTAATTGCTCAATCTAGTGTTTAAGGTTGTCTCCCATTTCTCCTCTATTACGAGATTTGGGTTTCTTAATGTAAAGAAACTTGCTTTAGTGTTCTTACTACTTTGTTCTGATCCAGTTTCCTTATCGCTTTTTTGTTAGATAATGGATATCACCATTAACGGAGAGAAAGAGAGTATGGATGAAGCTCAATCTCAAGCTCCTTCCAGTGACCGTCCAATGCTTTGGACTATATGTGCGTTCTGTTGCGCCAGATACAAATCATACATAAGCCTTCTCAACAAACCGACCCGGTGTCAATCTTGCTACTTGGAATTCTTTTCGGGCAAAACCATTGGCACGACAGGAAACAAGGCAAATCAGACAACTCTGTCGTCTACTACCATGGAGCAACTCGGTTACATCGACACCCAAGAACAAGCCTCAGCCGCAAAAAGATCAACCTCAGAGAGTTCCAAGGTTTTTGACTAGGTGTCCATTCTGTGAGGTTAAGCTTCGTTGTCCGATGAGTTATATCAACAAACGGATCATTTGCAAGTGCAATAAGAAGTTCAAGGCAGTCCCAGGCACACATTTACCTGGTGGAAAGGAAAGCTCTCCTGGTTTGAGCTGTGCTGTGACGGTTGGTGAGAAGAGAAAGAGGAGCGAGTGTGGTGACGGTTACAATGCTGCGAATCGCATTCTTGTGCTCAACAACAGAAGAAGGGCTTCGATTGATAATAGAGATGCAAGAGAAGATTCTGAGAGCGGAAAGCAAGTCCATGAGGCTGCTATTGATAAGGCTGTTGACAATATTAGAAGAGGATTGAATGATAATGGAGATGCAGTAAGGCGAGAAGAGTCAGGATGGGGGAAGCAACTCTATGAGGTTGAGATAAACATTGTAAAAACATTTCCGAGTGTCATAAACACAAAGCAGAAGATTGGTAGAGATCAAGATGCTCAAATGGGAGCTGTTATTGACAATAACAGACATGGATTCAATGATGGTGAAGATGCAGTAAGGCGAGAAGAGTCTGGACTCCATGAGGTTTATCCTTGTCAAGAAACATTTGCTGAGTGTCATAAGCACGAATCAAAAGTTGAATGAAAACCAAGATGATGTGAGGAGCTCCGGGAGTTTTGAGGTGGATGCAAACTCTGAAGATGTTATTGACAGGGCTCTAGTTAATAATACAAGAGCATTCAATGATGATGAAGATGCAGGAAGACGAGAAGAGTTGGGATGTGGGAGGCAACTCCATGAGGTTGAAGAAACTTTGCCAGCGAACCGAATGTTTAATGAAGATCAAGATGCTGTGGGGAGCTCCGGGAATCTTGAGGTGGACAAAGACTCTGGTTTATGTGATTCAGGTCCAGGAGTCGCCGTCAAGATTTCTGAATGTGCTGGTCCGAGGTTTAACGACTTTAATAAGGCTAGGGAAAGGGCACACTTTTCAGATTGTCAGACATGGGCTTTGTTTGATGCAGCAGATGGGATGCCAAGACAGTATGCTGTGATCAGAAAAGTTTCAGCTCCTTCTTTCGGGCTTAGGATCACATATCTAGAGCCTGATCCTGATGATGAAAGAGAGATCCTATGGTGTGACGAAGACTTGCCTGTTTCTGTTGGTAAGTTCAGGTTTGGGAAAAACCAGAACACCAAAGATCGTTCCATATTCTCACATCGCATTCGTTGCCAAGGATGCATCATGACCGGTGAATTCAGCGTTTCCCCAAGAAAAGGAGAGACCTGGGCTCTTTTCAAGAAGTGGGACATCGACTGGTCATCAGAGCCAGATTCTCACAGGAAATATGAGTATGATATTGTTGAGATTTTGTCTGGTAAAGCTGATGGAGCTGGTGTATCTGTTGCAATCTTGCATAAAGCAAAAGGCTTTGCAAGTGTCTTCTTTCGGATGGGAAGTGGTGATGCAGACACAATTCAGATTCCGTCTCACAGTTTGTATCGATTCTCCCATAGGATCCCTTCCTTCAAAATGAAAAGAGTTGACATGAAAGGTGTGCCAAAAGATGCTTACGAGCTAGACCAAGCTGCTCTACCGGAATCAATGGAAGAGAAAATAGTCCCTACTCATCTATACGCTGAGCCTAAACCAGAAGCTCTCTGCTTTCCTTGGAAGGGAAAGGTTTTTCAAACTGGTCAGATCTGGTCATTGTACAGCGGCAACGTTAGCATGCCTCTCTACTACTGCAGAATTCAAAAGATCACTCTTATTCGGGCATTGGAGCAGGAACCAGAATTGAAACTACACGTTGGTCGGTTAAAGGCTATGCCTTTCCCTGAGGAAGTCATCCAGTGGGAGGACAAGAGAATGCCTGTTGGTTGTGGAACTTTCTTGGTGAGGGAAATCAATGGCGTAATCACTACAGATGATGTTTCGCATCAGATACTGCCTCAAACCTCTCTGGAAGGAGATGAATATACCATTGTGCCCAAGATTGGGGATGTTTGGGCCATATACAGATTGTGGACTTGCGACAAGAAGTTCAAGGACGTGGGTTGCTTCGACTATGACATTGTGGAAGTTCTTGATGACACCATGGACTATAAGGTTTTAGCTTTGGAGGCTGCGTTGAAAGTTAATGAAGGTGGAGCGAAGAAGACAGTCTTTAGAGCAGCTGAGAGAAGGCATCCTGGTTGTGAAGATGAGGATGGCCCAGAAGTGATATTTACGATTCCAAAGTCGAAAATGCTTAGGTTCTCGCATCAGGTTCCTGCTTCTCGAGTAACCAAGGAGATAGAGGGAGAGATGAAAGAGCTTTTTGAAGTTGATTCCAGAGCATTGCCTACAAACGTTAGAGTTCAAGACCGTTGAGCAGAGGAAGTCAGGGAAGGGTAAGGAAGGATTCGTTTATTTGTTTGCTTTTGTAAGAAAGGTTGGTTCTTGGTTTACGGCACTGAAACTTATTTATAGACTTTCTCCATGGTTGATGTATGTTTTTCTTTTGCTGGTTGAAATCAAATCTGTGAAAAATCATGTCTTTTTTGGGTCAACTGGGCTAGTGGTTAGGATTAAGATGATAAACTTTACTGAACTTTCTCCATGTTTCAACTCCAAACTTCTATGCATATATCCGCTTTTGATCGAAAGAAGGCTTAAACAGTTAAAACTCAATTCTTAGCTCCATATAGTCATCAATCATCATGAGTATTGAACTATTGATAATTATGTTCGAAAATATTTGTGCTAAATGTGAATCAAAACTTTTTTAGCCTAACTATGTTAACAAGTATATAAATTTAAAACACCATTTAAAAAATTACAATAGATAATGAGATAGATTTCATTTTGGTTTAGTGATGCTATCATTTTCCCGCCAAATAAATCGCCACTGGGCTAGTCTCACCGGGTTAAAGAAGCTTTATATCTTCTACTAAAAATACAACGTATCCTCTCTCCATTTCCGGTCAAAGTTCCCGCCGCCGACGACTGCGGTTTGCTATTTGGTGCATCAAATTGATCGATTCGGTTCGTCGATTTTATCTACAAGTTTTGATTTTGTTAATTCCTATATCTCTTTGTTGCATCCGGATTCCAGTGATATTGCTTAATCTAGGGTTTAGGTGTTCTCGTTTTTCCCCCAATCGTGAAATTTCGGTTTCTAATTACTTTATGGTCTGAGATGCTTCACAGTTTCGACACTTTGTAAGCTGGGTGCTTGAAAGATTAGCTCTTTTAAAACTTTTATCTGCGTGATTTTGGAATTATACGATAGCTACAATTCATCTTAGACAAACATAGAAATTTACGCCTCTATGCGGATTATCTTACCAATGCTAAACTTATCTTATGCAGGAACTCTAATCATTTCATTGTTTGATGATGGATATCACTTCAAACGAGCCTCTTAGAAGGAAAGGGACTTCTTTTGACGGCGAGTCAACGTTTTCTTCAGCTTGTGCTGAAAATGTTCAGTCCCCTGGTTTGAGTTGTGATTTAAGCGCTGGTGAGAAGAGAAAGAGGAGTGAATATGGTGAAACTTACAATACTAGAAATGGTGGTGTCGTACATGATAATGGCGCTGCAGAAAGGAGAGACGAGTCGGTACAACCAAAGATTTCTGAATCTTCTGGTGTGAAGTTAGACGGCTTTAATATGCCAAACACAAAAAGGTTCAACGACTTTGACAAGCTGAGGGAAGAAGTAAACTTTTCTGTTGGCCAGACGTGGGCTTTGTACGATACAACAGATGGGATGCCTAGACTGTATGCTCAGATCAGAAAAGTTTCAGCTCCTTTGTTCGGACTTAGGATCACATACTTAGAGCCAGATCCAGATGATGAGAAAGAGGTCCTATGGTTTGAAGAAGACTTGCCCGTTTCCGTCGGTAAGTTCAGGCTTGGGAAAAATCAGAACACAACAGATCGTTCAGTATTCTCTCATTGTATCCAATGCAATGAAGGAAGCAGCACTGGTCATTTCACTGTCTCCCCAAGAAAAGGCGAGACTTGGGCTCTGTTCAAGAACTGGGACATTAACTAGTCTTCAGAGCCAAATTCTCACCGCAAATATGAGTATGAGTTTGTTGAGGTTTTGTCAGATTACGCTGATGGAGCTGGTGTGTCTGTTGTATTCTTGCATAAAGCAAAAGGCTTTGCAAGAGTTTTCTTCAGACTGGGAACTGGGGATGCAGACATATCTCAGATTCCTTCTCACAGTTTATATCGATTCTCCCACAGGATCCCTTCCTTCAAAATGACAGGAGTTGAAGCAAGAGGTTTACCAAAAGATGCTTACGAGCTGGACCAAGCTGCACTACCTGATACAATCGAAGAGAAAATCGTTCCCTCTCGAACCTGGCCAGTTCTGGTCATTTTACGGTGGTAAAGTTAATTTGCCTCTGTACTACTGCAGGATTCAGAAGATCACTCTAACTCAGGAATTCGAGCAAGGAGCAGTAGTGAAACTGCATGTAAATAAGTTAAAGGCTACTCCTTCCCCTGAGAATGTCATCCAGTGGGCGGACAAGAATATGCCTGTTGGTTGTGGAACTTTCTTGGTGATGGGAAGTTTCGTACTACTCACTCCAGATAATGTTTCACACCAGATAGTGCCTCATACCTCCACGAGTGGAAGTGAATATACTATTCTCCCCAAGAATGGCGAAGTGTGGGCGGTCTACAGATCCTGGACTCATCGCCTTAATGTCTTTGACTTGGAAATGAACCACTTGGACTATGACATTGTGGAAGTTCTTGATGACGCCTTTGACTATAAGGTTTTAGCGTTGGAGGCCGTGTTTATTGATAGTGAAGATGAAGAGAAGAAGACAGTCTTTAGAGCAGCTGAGAGGAGGCATCCTGGTTGTGACGATGAGGATGGATCAGAAGTGATATTTACGATTCCAAAGTCGAAAATGCTAAGATTCTCTCATCAGATTCCTGCTACCCGCATAACCAAGGAGATACAGGGGGCTTTAAATGAGGTTTTTGAAGTTGATCGTAGAGCATTACCTGAAAGCCTGAATGTGAGACCATTAAGCAAAGGAAGTAAGAGAAGGCTAGGGAAGGACTCTTTCTTTTGATCAGCTTTTGGTGCATTTTGTGAAAAGGTTTGTTCTTTGGCTAAGATCTAAGACCCTTAAACTTGCTTAGGCTTTCTCCATGGTTTAAAGCATGTGCTTCTTTTGGCGGTTTATAGTCTATGTAAAATCATGTTCTTATAGAGATGGTTGCAACGGACTAGTTTGTGCTCTCTTCTTTTTGGTCAAAAGGTTATCCAGTGGTTTAGATTAGGATGAGAAATGTACTGAACTTTCTCCATGTCTAAAACTCTCTTGCACATATATGAAGGTTCAAAAATCTCTTGCACATATGTGCTTAAGAAATCTCAAGAGCATGAAAGTATCTCCATTACCACTCTTTATCAATTACTAGACCAAGAGACTAGAAGAAGAGAAAAACACCATTTAAAAAAATTAATTATCTGATCAAGTTGGAAACCGGTTTTAAGATCAGAAATTGGTAATACATAATTAGTTAAGTACTAAATCATTTTCCCGCCAATCAAATTGAGAAATGGGGGATAGTTTCTCTACAGCCAGATAAACCCACTTCTCTTTTTATCGGGGACGCATCGTTTCACTCTTCCGGCAAAGACTCCGCCGTCGGCGACTGCGGTTTGCTTTGGTTGCGTAAATTGATTGAATCGGTTAGTTGATGTGTTTATATTACAAGCTTTGACCATTTTTTCTGCTTCAGTCTCTCTATGTTGAATCCGAATGTATGATTATTGCTCAATATAGGGTTAAGGTGTTTTCGCATTTTCCCCAATTGTGAGATTTGGGTTATTAAATTCAAAGACGCTTGATTTAGGGTTCTTATTACTTTGTTTTCTGGTTTGGGAAGCTTCACACTTATGACACTGTAATCTGGGCGCTTGAAAGTTTAGCCCTTTTTTAGAACTTCTATCGCCATGATTTTGGAATTGTACGATTGTCATTCATCTTACACAAGCATTGATTTACGTCTTTATGTGGATTATTAAATGCAGGAACGCTGGCTAGAGGAGGAAGTTGTGTTCTTTGAGTGCTAATCGTTTCTTTGTTTGGTGATGGATATCACTTCAAACGAGCTTCTTAGTAGGAAATCTGTTTCAGAGAAAGGAACTTCTTCTGAAGGCAATACATCATTATTTTCTGCTTGTGCTGAAACTATTCTCTCCCCTGGTTTGGGTTTTGCTGTGAGTGTTGGCGAGAAGAGAAAGAGGAGTGAGCTTGGTGAGGGTTGCAATACTGGAAACACTAAAAGAGAGTTCAATGATAATGGAGATGAGTCGGTACAACCAAAGATTTCTGAATCTTCTGGTGTGAAGTTTAACGACTTTGATAAGCTAAGGGAAGATGTACGCTTTACAGTTGGCCAGATTTGGGCTCTCTATGACACAATAGATGGGGTTCCTAGACGGTATGCTCTGCTCAGAAAAGTTTCAGCTCCGTCTTTCGGGATAAGGATCACATATCTAGAGCCTGATCCTGATGAGGAGAGAGATATCCAATGGTTTGAACACGACTTGCCTGTTTCTGCTGGTAAGTTCAGACTTGGGAAGAGTCAGAACACAACAGATCGTACAATAATCTCACATGTTATGCATTGGAATGAAGGAAGCAGCGCTGGTCATCTCATTCTTTCCCCGAGAGTAGGCGAGACTTGGGCTATATTCAAGAACTGGGACATTAACTGGTCTTCAGAGCCAGATTCTCACCGCAAATATGAGTACGAAATTGTTGAGATCTTGTCTGGTAACACTGATGGAGCAGGTGTATCTGTTGCAGTCTTGCACAAAGCAAAAGGCTTTGCAAGTGTCTTCTTTCGGATGGGAACTGGTGACACAGGCATATTTCAGATTCCGTCTCACAGTTTGTATCGGTTCTCCTATAGGATCCCTTCCTTCAGAATGAAAAGAGTTGAGATCAAAGGTGTGCCAAAATATGCTTACGAGCTGGACCAAGCTGCACTGCCTGGAACAATCGAAGAGAAAACCGTGCCTCCTCATCTAATTGCAGAGCCTAAACAAGAAGCTCTCTGCTTTCCTAGTGGAGAAAAGGTTTTTCAAAACGGCCAGATCTGGTCATTTAAGGCAGGTTACAATGACATGCCTCGCTACTTCTGTAAGATTCAGAAGATCACTCTAACTCAGGAATTCGAGCAGGAAGCAGAAGTGAAGCTACACGCAGGTTGGTTAAACGGTGTTCCATTCGCTGAGAATGTCATCCAGTGGGAGGATAGGAATATGCCTCATGGTTGTGGAACTTTCTTGGTGAATAAAAGTAGTTCAGTATTCTATCCACACCATCTTTTACGTCAGGTGGTGCCTCAAATCTCCATGGATGGAAAGGAGTATACCATTCTGCCCAATATTGGCGAAGTTTGGGCGATATACAGAGCCTGGTCTCATCGTATTTATTTCAAGGAAGTGGAGAGAGACTACTTGGACTATGACATTGTGGAAGTTCTTGATGACGCCTCGGACTTTAAGGTTTTGACATTGGAGGCTGCGTTTTATTCTGATGGAGATGCAAAGAAGAAGACGGTTTTTAGAGCAGCTGAGATCAGGCAGCCTGGATTTGACGATGAGGATGGGTCGGAAGTGGTATTTACAATCCCAAAGTCGAAAATGCTCAGATTCTCTTATCAGGTTCCTGCTTCCCGTTTAACTAAGGAGATAGATGGAGTGTTGAAAGAGCTTTTTGAAGTTGATTCTAGAGCATTACCCTCGAACGTGCAGCTGTAAGACTCGTTGAGCATTGGAAGTTACTGGCTTACGGCATTCTATCAAAAGGTTTGTTCTTGTTTTAAACTTACTTGACTTGTTCCATGGTTTATGCATGTGTTTTGTTTTGTTGTTTCAAATATATATGGAAAATCATGTATTTTAAGAAAGTAGGAGAAGACCAGTGGTTGATATTAGAATGGGAAATGAGAAAATTTTGCTCGACTTTCTCCATGTTTATGACTGATCCAGTCACTTGATCCGTTGGTAGTTCTCCTTCTCCATATAAAGGATAGCCGTGTCTCAAAGGTTCAAGATTGAATTCACTTACGTCAATGATCTAATTTCTCATTTATATATATCCAATATCAAGCTTGTTAATGATAACTGTCAAAGGTTCCATTTCCATATATATATATATATATATATATATATATATATATATATTTTGCTAAACTAAACCAATGTCAGTAGATTAGGATGATTATTACACCATTTATAAGACACCATATAAAAATGACCTCAGGACTCGCACTGTAATATATATTTTGGGGTTAATAAATACTGTAATAGTAAAGAAACTTTAAGAGATAAAAGATTTTCGAATCTGCTTGACTTGACAGAACAAGAGAGAGATCTTTTAAAGAAAAAAAAGAAAATGACGTTGAAAAAAAACTGTAGCTGAAAATGGGTTTAGGGAGCAGACTTGACCAGACGTACGTCTTTCTATCCATTCTTTATCGAGAGCCGAGTTTTGCTGCATCCAATGTTCACGCAGCACGCTATCCATCTGCATGCAATGAATTTTTCTGATAGAGAGAGAGAAAGAATAATTATAAAAAAAAAACTATTGATGTTCATGGAGACTGGAGAGTATACAACTCCCCTATTTAAAGGCAAATGTATTGTCTCTCAGTTTCCGGTGAAAGCCTCCGCGACTAAAAAAGTATTTAGGTATTTTGACTATTTTTCTCATTCTCCACACTTATGAGACTTGTGTTTCATAGATTCAAATACGCCTAGTTTTATTATTTTCTTCTGGTTATAGAGTCTTAGAGATGTTTCACACTTTCCACTCTTGAAAGTTTATTATAACAACAAGACGTTTCAACGCTTGTGTACCTAAGTCATTCATCTTCTTCAATTCATCTTACCAATCTTTATCTACTGTCTCTTGTGCAGGAAGTTGTCTTCTCCGGTGGTAATCGTTTCTTTCTTTTATCATGGACAGCACTTCTTCCAACCCTCAGGCCATCGTCGCTTGTAACGGGAAGGTGTTTCAAAATGGCCAGATTTGGTCTTATTGCAGTGGTATCAACGACTTTCCTCTGTACTACGGTGTGATTCAGAAGATCAGTGCTATTCAAGTAGCCGAGCAGGAGACAAAGTATAAGCTGCATGTACGTCGGTTCATGGCTACTCGTTCCCCTGACGATGTTGTCTCCCCTGGTGTGAGTGTTGGCCAGATGAGAAAGAGGAGTGAGCATGGTGATAGTTGCAATACTCGAAACACTGAAAGAGAGTCCAAAACCGTGCCTCCTCATCGAAATGCAGAGCGTAAACCAGAAGCTCTCTGCTTTCCTAAGGAAGGAAAGGTTTTTCAAGCTGGCCAGGTGTGGTCATTTAGCAACGGTTACAGTGACATCCCTAGGTACTACGGTAGGATTCAGAACATCACTCTAAGTCAAGGATTGGAGCAGGCACCAGAATTAGAACTACACGTAGGTCGGTTAAGGGTTAAGCCTTATCAAAAGGATGTCATCCAGTGGAAGGACAAGAGAATGCCCATTGGTTGTGGAAGTTTCTTGGTGAATAAAGGCTGTACAATATTCCCTCCAAGTCGTCTTTTACATCAGTTAGTGCGTCAAACATCCATGGAGGGAAATGAGTGTACCATTCTTCCCAAGATCGGCGATGTTTGGGCGATTTACCAAACCTGGGATCCTAGCTACAAACTCAGTGACTTGGAAGCTAACGTCTTCGACTTTGAGATGGTGGAAGTTCTTGATGACGCCTCAGACTTTAAGGTGTTATCGTTGGAGTCGGTGTACCTTTGTAATAGAGATGGAGAGAAAAAGGAAGTTCTCAGAGCAGCTAAGAGTAGGACCTCTTATTGCTGTGACGATGAGGATGGAGTGATATTTACAATCAAGAAGTCGAAAATGCGCAGATTCTCGCATTGGATTCCTGCATCCAAAGTAACCAACAAGATAAAATCCAAGACGTTTAAACTTGCTTGAGACTTTTTTCCATGTTTCTGAATCTATGGAAAAACCATGTATTTTGAGATGGTAGGAAGGAGAGCGGTGGCTTAAGTTTCGAATGACAAGTTTGATGAACTTTGTCCAATTTAAATTACCAGTGACTGACTCTGCTCTTTCTTAGACGTAGAATTGTTTTCTCTGCAGATTACAGAGATTCAAACCTTATACTCCCTCCGTTTTTTTAAGATGAATTTTCTGGACATTTTTTGTTGTTTCACAAAGATAAAATTTTTAGCTTTTTGAAATACTTTTTTAGATTTTTATTGGTCTAAGTTTATAGAAAGTTGTTTTATTGCCAAAATCTATACATTGATTGAAAATCAACTTTTTCTTAATATGTGTGAAAACTCTAGAAAATTCATCTTAAAAAAACGGAGGAAGTAAAAATTAAAACATTTACGGTTACAAAATCTTGCGCTGTTTCCCTGTTCCGTTGCTGCTGAGATTTGCAATACCGAGAACCACGGTGTGGAACAGAACAATACTTTGATTCAGAAATGCTGAAGTTCTTTACAGATTATGGATGCAAAGTTAATCATATAACTTAAGCCAATATTTACAGTATATGGAACCTTTGGCAATTATCACTAACAAGTTTGATATTGTAAGTGAAATTAATCGTTCACCTTTGGCAATTAACAAGTTTATTACTGTAAGTGAACTCAATTTTATATTGAGAAAATCCAACGGATCTCAGGAAAAATATACTGTAGTCATTAGGTTCAAAAATATAGTAAAAAAAATTACATAAGTTATGTGTGGTCCTTGTATATTTGATCTCAGGACTCGCAGAGGGAAACCAGAAAACTGACTGATATGTGTGGTCCTTGTATATTTGTGTTACATTAACAAATAGTAATAAGAAAATTGAGGGATAATGAAAAGATTTTGGAATCTGCTTGACAACAAGAGAGAGATCTTTTCTAAAAAGAAAAGAAAATGACGTTGAAAGAAAACTAGCTTGTAGCTGAAAATAGGTTTAGGGAGCTGACTTGACCAGACGTCTCTCTAACTATACAGTCTTTATCGAGCGCCGAGTCTTGCGGCATCCAATGTGCACACTATTCTTCTTAGGTGCATGTGCATGCAATGATGATCCTCCCGAGATATTTTCTGATAGAGAGAGAGAAATAATAATTTTCTTTTATTAATTTAATGTTAATGGAGTTATATTATGAATATACACCTCCCTATTTAAAGCCAAACGTATCTTCTCTCATTTTCCGGTGAAAGCCTCCGCGGACGACGACTTAAAAGTTGAAAGGTTTGCTTTGCTTGTGCTGATTCATATTTATGTAATTTAGGATTGTTGTTTAGCATAGGATTTAGGTGTCTACGCATTTTCCTCGTTTATGAGATTTGGGTTTCATGGATACAAAGACAGAGTTTAATTAGGGTTCCTATGATTTCTTCTTTTTTTTGCACTCTTATTTTCTTTCTGTTAGAGATGTTTCACACTTCCCACTCTTGAAAGTTAACGTTTTTATATCTGCGTAATTTTGTGAATAACAATACGCTTTTATCTTATACCGAAGTCATTAATCTTGTTCAAACATAGATTTATGCTCTCTGTGTATTATCTTACCAATCTTTGTCTACTGTGTACTTCTGCAGAAACCCTAGAAGAGAAAGTTGTCTTCTCCGGTGGTAATCGTTTCTCTGTTTGATGATGGATAGCTCTTCTTCCGACGGTGCTATAGCAACTGCTTCATCTGTTGGTTCAAACTCCGTGAGTAGTGGAAACGCCGAGCCAAATCCAGAAGCTCTCTGCTTTTCTAGGGAGGGAAATGTTTTTCAAGTTGGCCAGGTCTGGTCATTTAGCAACGGTTACAATCTCATCCCTAGGTACTACGGTAGGATTCAGAACATCACTCTAAGTCGGGGATTAGAACTACACGTAGGTCAGTTAAGGGCTAAGCCTTATCAGAGGGAAGTCATCCAGTGGGATGACAAGAGAAGGCCTGTTGGTCGTGGAACTTTCTTGGTGAATAAACGCTGTACAATATTCCCTCCAAGTCATCTGTTACATCAGATAGTGTGTCAAACCTCCATGGATGGAAATGAGTGTACCATTCTGCCCAAGATTGGTGACGTTTGGGCGATTTACCAAATTTGGGATCCTAGCTACAAAGTCCGTGACTTGGAAGATAACGTCTTCGACTTTGAGATGGTGGAAATTCTTGATGACGCCTCTGACTTCAAGGTTTTAGCGTTGGAGTCCGTGTACCTTTGTAATGAAGATGGAGAGAAAAAAGAAGTTTTCAGAGCAGCCGAGATTAGGCCCTCTTATGCTTGTTCTGATGAGGATGGGCCGGGAGTGATATTTACAATCAAAAAGGTCGAAAATGCTCCGATTCTCGCACTGGATTCCTGCTTCCCGAGTAACCAAGAAGCTAAACGGAGAGTTGGAAGAGATTTTTGAAGTTGATACTAATGCATTACCTACTTTGTACGACTTTCCAGAAGAGGAAGTGAGGGAAGGGTAGCGAAGGGAATGGTTGTTTTATGTTTGTATGGTTAGCTTTTGTTGCATTTTGGTAAAAGGTATGTTCTTTGTTAAGAAATCTAAGACGCTTAAACTTATTTGAGACCCTCTCCATGATGGTTTATGTATGTTTTTTCTTTTATTGTGTTCAAATCTATGGAAAAATCATGTATTTTGAGAATGGTAGGACAAGAGAAAGTGGTTTAAGATAAGAATGACAAATTTGATGAACTTTCTCCAATTTAAATTACTAGTGACTATTTGATCTGAGGGTAGATTAAGCAGCAGTTTGCGAAGGTTTAAAACTTATATAATGCAAATATGACGCTGTTCCAGTTCTTGATGACGACACTTTGGGATATAAAGTGTATTCACTGAAGGGTGAGTCCTTTTACGTGACGATGAAGATAATATATTCTTTGGGGAAGTCAAAGTGTGTAAAAAATTCTCTTATTTGCAGGTCGGTCTTAAATTCTCATTCACTAAGCTTCTTTTGGGTGTTTTTAACAATTTATTGCATTTGTTGCTAGATTGTGATGCTAGACTTTGGTCTTTTTTAGACTTAAGTTGATTTATCTGCAGATCACAGCGATTCAACCTTGTAAAATAACATTTACGGATACCAAACCTTTGGCTGTTTAGTTGGTTAATAAATTATATATTCTACAGATTTGTTTCCCGCCATATATATTGCTAATGAAGAATTTTTACCGCGAAAATTTGGTTTTTTCTTAAATCGATTTAATTTACTCTACCCAGAAATTAAAAGTGTAAATTAGTTCTCCGCCTCCGACTACTTTACCGGCAATAGTCTCCGCCTCCGACTGCGATTTCCTTTGGCCGAATCGAATCGGTTCGTGGACTTGTTTTTTTACTTCTTCTTTCTTCGGTTTGATGTGTGTTTATGCTGTATCAGAATCTAGGGATTAAGAATGTATCGCATTTTCGTTCCATATGTGAGATTTCGGTTTCTCAATCTATAGTGGTGTTTTGATTTAGGGTTCTTACTCCTTTCTCTTGATTCTGAAATTGCTTCAGACTTTTTAACCTTTCAGTTCGCTGGGTGCTTGAAAACAAAATCAGCTACAGAACACACATGTATTGTCTATTTAAGTTTGTATTTGCTCATAATCCTTGTTTCAATAGATTCTAGCGTCGTTATAGTTAATGTGTGAGAGTACCTGATGACCATAAACGATATCTTCTGCAGGAACTCTAGTGATTACTTTGTTTGATGATGGATATCACTCTAAGTGAGCTAATTAGAAGGAAGAAAGCTGCTCAGAACCATCCCATTAGGAGTGATTTTGTTGCATCGACACCCAATAATCAGCAGGAAAAGACTCAAGCTTTCTCCTTTCAACAAGATGAAGTTTTCTGCTCTGCAAGTGTTGGTGAGAAGAGACAGAGGAACGGGTTTGCTGCTGAGATATGCAATACCGAAAATGGCGGTGTTGAACAGAGCAATGCAAGAGTTTCCAATGATAATGGATGTGCAGAAAGTGGAGAAGAACGACTTTGATAAGGTTAGGGAAGACACAAACTTTGAAGTTGGGCAGACGTGGGCTTTGTATGACACAGCGACGGATGGGATGCCTAGATTGTATGCTCAAGTCAGAAAAGTTTCAGCTCCTTGTTTCAGGCTCAGGATCACATACTTAGAGCCAGATCCAAAGGATGAGAAAGAGATCCAATGGTGTGAAGAAGACTTGCCTGTCTCTGCTGGTAAGTTCAGGCTTGGGAAAAACGAGAACACAAAAGATCGTTCCATATTCTCTCATCTTATGCAATGCAGTGTAGTAAGCAACACTCGTCATTTCTTCGTTTCACCAAGAAAAGGCGAGACTTGGGCTATGTTCAAGAACTGGGATATCAAGTGGTCCTCAGAGCCTGATTCTCACCGCAAATACGAGTATGAGTTTGTGGAGGTTCTGTCCGACTACGCTGATGATGGAGCTGGTGTATTTGTTGCATACTTGTATAAAGCTAAAGGCTTTGCGAGTGTCTTCTTCAGAATGGGGACTGGTGAAGCAGACATATTCCGTATCTTACCTCGCAGTCTGTATAATGCCTGAGATCTCCTTGGATGGAATTGAGTATACGATTCTCCCCAAAGTTGGTGAAGTTTGGGTGATATACAGATACTGGAGTCGTTGCCATGATGTTGAGGATTTGGAAAAAGGTTTGTATGACATTGTGGAGATTCTTGATGACACCTCTGACTTTGAGGTGTTACTGCTGGTGCAAGCATGTGTTCATGATGACGATGATAACGATAGGTTTTTCAAGGGAGCTACGGAGTATGTCGACAACGAGGATGAAGGGTCGGAGCCAATATTTACGATTCCAAAGTCAGAGAGGATCAGATTCTCGAATCCGCTTCCTGCTTCGCGTGTAACCAAGGAGATTTCGGGAGAGTTAAACGAGTATTTCAGAGTTGAATTTCACGCGTTACCTATAAACGTTATACACAATTGAACAGAGGAAGTTAGAGAAGAAGTATTTGTGTTTTTGGTTATAAGATTCTAATGACTTTGATCATGTTGTAAGAATGTTCTTCTCTATATAAGATTTGACATTCTCTCTCGCTAAACGTGTTTGCTCTTATGTGATGTTGTTGGACTCTGCTGAGCTGCTTTTTCAGACTTTAGTGACATTCTTTCAGACACAAATTCAAATTTATTCAAAATTTCTCACGCCAAATTTAGGTTGGTTAATGAACGGTTAGATTTGCCTCCCGCTAAATTTATGTTAGTTAATGAACTTTTACCGCGAAACTGTAGCAATCTTTTCTTTTCCTCTTAAATCCGAGATACTGTAATTTACATTTTACACCGGATTAAATAAAACTACTTTTGTTCGCTCAGGTTCACTACTTAACCGGAAAAAGTCTCCGCCGCCAACGAATGCGATTTGCTCTTTGTCGCTGTTGCTGTAGTAAATTGATTGAGCAGGTTCGTGGACTGTCTTCCATCTGTTTTCAAAAACAAAAAATATTGATGGGTTGAATTTGAATCGTATTTATGTCGTAGTTGAATCGAGAATATAGGTTTTCTCGCATTTTCGCCCATTGTGAGATTTCGGTTTTGAAATGTACTGGTGGGTTGATTTAGGGTTCTAATAACTTTCTTTTGCTTTGAATGCTTTGGACTTTTCAACCTTTTTGGCTGTGTTTTTGAAAAATTAGCCCTTTCTTAACATTTTCTGCGTGATTTTCTACAAACACATCTATCACTATATGCGTTTGTTATGTGTGTAAGTATCTGATAACGGTAACTGTATCTCCTGCAGGGATTCTAGAGGAGGAAGTTGTCCTCTGGATTGCTTATTCGTTTGATGATGGATATCACTGTAAACGAGCTACTTAAAAGGAGGAAACCAGCCCAGAATCATCACACTAGGAGTGATTTGGTTGCATCGACACCAAAGAATCAGCAGGAAAAGGCTCAGGCCCTGTTCGTTTGAACAGTTGGCTGATCAAGCTAGATGATCCAGCCAGATGGTTCAGTCAGATGATCCAGCCAGATGTTGTTCACTTTTTTTTACTCTCAGCTAGATAGATCAGCCGAATGATCAGCCAGATGAATCTTTTGTTCTTTTTCTCACTTAGATGGATCAGCCAAATACTTTTAATGGATAATGACGAAAATACCCATACTTTTTTTATCCAATCAAAGTTTTATTAACTAAATTAATTTTCTAACCATATCAACTTAAATAATATCAAAACCATAAAACGTAATTTCACAATTTTGCCGAAAATGTAAATTTGCGGTTTTGACAGAAAAACAAAATTTCGCAGTTTTGGCCAAAATTACAACTTCACGCAATTATAGCAACAAAAAACACGATTTTGTGATATCTGCAATAAAAACAGGATTTCTCATCGGAAAATGCGATTTTGCGGTTTTGGCAGAAAAAATATGAATTTGCGGTTTAAGTGGAAAACTGCGATTTTGCGGTTTTGAACGCAAAACGTAATTTCACTGTTTCGGTGGAAGTTTCGTAACTTTGCATTTCAAGCAGAAACCCACGATTTTGTGATTTCAATAGAAAAACATGATTTTTCAGTTTAAACGGGAAAACTCGATTTCGCGGTTTCGGCAAAAATATATGATCTTACGGTTTAAGCGGAAAACTGCAATCTTACAGTTTTGGCAGGAAAACGTATTTTGGTGAAAATTTCGCGGTTTTGCGGTTTCGCCAGACAAACGCAATTTCTAGGTTTTGGCGGAAAATATGATTTTTTTGCGGTTTTTGCGAAAACGTAATTTTATGGTTTTGGCGGGAAAAAGTTATTTTACTTTTCGGCGGAAAATGATATTTCACGGTTTTGGCGGAAAAAACGATATTTCACGGTTTTGGCGGGAAAAATGATTTTTGCTATTTCGGCGGAAAAACATTATTTTGCGAATTCGAAGGAAAACATTATTTCGCGGTATTGGCAGGAAAACATTATTTTGCGATTTCGGCGGAAAAACTTTATTTCACGGTTTTGGCGGGAAAACGTGATTTTTGCGATTTCGGCGGGAAAATGTGATTTTATGATTTCGGCGGAAAAACATTGTTTTCCGGTTTTGGCGGGAAAATACAATTTTGTGATTTCGGCGGAAAAATGTTATTTGGCGGTTTTGGTGGTAAATTGCAATTTTGTGATTTCGGCTGAAAAAACGTTTTTTGAGGTTGTGGCAGAAAAACGTTATTTTTGTTTTTGTGGAAAAAATGTAATTTTGCGGTTTATCTTGAAAATATAATTTTGTGGATAATTTTGATTTTCAGTTTTGATAAAAAAAAATTGGAGATTGGATAATTTTTTTTTGTTTTAGAAATAGTAAATAAATCTATAATTTTATTCTTGTGTAAATATATTTTGAAGGATATAATTGTTATTTGTATTTTTGGAATGGAGATGGCTCAGCCAAATGCTTCATTTCGGATCAGCCAGATGGATCAGCTGACTATTAAAAATTTAGCCTAAATTTTTAGATTTGAGATGATCCATCTCAGCTGAATGATGCTCATTTTTTGTATTAAACGAACATCATCCAACTGCCTCATCCAGATGGATGAGCAAACAAACAGGGCCTCAAGCTTTCTCCTTGCAACAACAGGAAACTGTCCCAAACTGCTCTGGAAATGAAATCTCTCCTGGTTTGAGCTGTGATGTGAGTGTTGGTGAGAAGAGAAAGAGGAACGAGTATGCTGAGATTTGCAATACCGAAAATCACATTGGTGAACATAACAACAGACGAGAGTTTAATGATAATGGAGATGCAGAAATGGGAGAAGAGTTAGTACAACCAAACATTGCTCAATGTGTTGGTCTAAAGTTCAGCGACTTTGATAAGCTGAGGGAAGACAGAAACTTTGCAGTTGGCCAGACGTGGGCTCTTTATGACACAGCGGCGGATGGGATGCCTAGATTGTATGCTCTGATCAGAAAAGTTTCAGCTCCTTCCTTCGGGCTTAGGATCACATATCTAGAGCCTGATCCAGATAACGAGAAAGAGGTCCAATGGTGTGAACAAGACTTGCCTGTTTCCGCTGGTAAGTTCAGACTTGGGAAAAACGAGAACACAAAAGATCTTTCTGTATTCTCTCATCTTATGCAGTGCAGTGTAGTAAGCAACACTCGTCATTTCACTATCTCACCAAGAAAAGGCGAGACTTGGGCTCTGTTCAAGAACTGGGATATCAAGTGGTCTTCAGAGCCAGATTCTCACCGCAAATACGAGTACGAGTTCGTGGAGATTTTGTCAGATTTTACTGATGGAGCTGGTGTATTTGTTGCACACTTGCATAAAGCAAAAGGCTTTGCGAGTGTCTTCTTCCGAATGGGGACTGGTAACGCAGACATATTTCGTATCTTACCTCACAGTTTGTATCGGTTCTCCCACATGGTTCCTTCCTTCAAACTGACTGGAACTGAAGGAAAAGGTTTGCCAAAAGATGCTTACGAGCTTGACCAAGCTGCATTACCAGAAACAATCGAAGAGATTACCGTGCCTTCAGTTCTTGAAAGCACTAGAAAGTCCAAACCTCAAGCCATCTACTTTCTTAGCAAGGGGAAGGTTTTCAAAACTGGCCAGATTTGGTCATTCTACAGAGGTAATGACGAATTGCCACTGTACTATGGCAAGATTCAGAAGATCACTTTCACTCAGGCGTTTAAGCAGGAACCAGTTTTGAAACTACACATATCTCTGCTAAAGGCTTTACCTTCCCCTCCTGAAGTCATCCAGTGGATTGACAAGCAAATGCCGATCACCTCTGGAACTTTCTACCCGAGAAAAGCTGTCGAAGTAATCACTCAAGATGATGTTTCACATCAGATGCTACCTCAAACTTCAATGGATGGGAATGAATATACCATTTTCCCAAAGGTTGGCGATGTTTGGGCGATATACAGATTCTGGACTCATCACATTGATGTAGAGGACTTGGAAGAGCATTGGCACTATGACGTTGTGGAAGTTCTTGATAATGCCTACGACTACAAGGTTTTACTGTTGGAGCCCGATTCGGATTTTAGTGAAGATGAAGAGACGTTCTTTCGGGCAGTTACAGAGTATAAGCATAACGCTGTTGATGGCACGGAACCGATCTTTACAATAAAATAGTCTGAATTGTTCAGGTTCTCTCATCAGGTTCCTGTTTCCCGTGTCACGAAGGAGAAATGTGGAGATTTAGAAGAGCTTTATAAAGTTGATTATAGAGCAATACCTACGAACGTGCTGATTGAAGACGAATGTTTTTAGAGTAAAGAAGCAACGGTGGTGAGCAAGCAAAGTGTTCCTTTCTGTGTTAGCTTTTTGGTGTCAAAAATGTTTTATGCATCTTTTTGTATCTATGTAGCAACCTATGTGTTCAGGTTTGTCTGATTTTTCTCCACGGTATGTGCTTTGAGTTAACGTAATCAGAAAGGCATTTGATGGAACAAGTAGTAACTACTCTTAGTTCTTTTGTTTTTTCTTCTAAATATAATTTAGGTTCTGCTTATTTGTTTTGAAGAATTATATGGTCTCATAATCACCAAGAATTATATTGTCAAATTTTTCTCATTACGATTCAAATTTTATAGAAAGTTGTTTGGTCAAACTGTAGCTCATGCTTGTTTTTGTTGGTCTTTGATATGTGTGAGTCATGTGGTATGTAAGATACCCACCTAAATTTTGTATATAAAGTAGTAAATCTTATTTTATCTTTTAGTTTTTTTGTTAAAGACTATTAATGCTTTCTAAACTAACACGTACGATAAATAACTTTAGTAAAGGCTTTTATCTATCATTTTTTAGATTAAAATAACCAGATGTTGGGTTATCTAGTGCACATATTGTGCTACGTAACGATTGGTCAAGTCTAATCTTCACTAAATCAAATGTTCAATGGTTTGGTTTATTTTAGAACTCATTGAGCCTATGTTAGTGTAACAAATCAAACGTTAATTTTCATTTCAAAATGATGGTAACCAATTCAAAACTGATTGAGTATTACATGGTCAAAGCTGATCTGTTGGTCAATGCTAGCATCACAAAAACTTTCTCCATTAGTCAATTATTCCATCATTGGTACAGATTCTTAAAAGCACAAGAGAGAGTATGAAGACAATGATTATCTTCATGTTTGATCGATAGTTTGATTGCTTCGAAGAGTTTTAAAGTTTTGTCAATGTACTTTGCTACAATTTTTTTTTTTTTACAAATTAAGTATTGTATTATGATTTATTTTTCAAATACTAAAAAGTTTAACCTACGAAAACAAATCATAGTTTAATCAAATTCATTTTTTTCATAAATGGATGATCTATCAATTTTAATACTAAAAAACGTTTAATTTAAGTTTAAATTTATATATTAACCCTCTTTAAGTTTTCATATTTTAAAATTAATTAACAACCAATAATCAAATAACTGATATAATTTATCTCAAATTTTGATTTATGTTTATGTTACAATCATATTATTTTATGATAACTAAATCGGTTTTGGTTCTAATTTGAAGCTGTTTTTATTTCGATTTTAGTTTTGATTTATCGGTTTTCGATTTCATTTATGTGAAACTTTAAAACCCTAAAAGTAGATGTCTGAAAATGACACTTATATCCCAACCAAAAATGTTGGTAGGGGTATAAAAGTCTTTGTGGGGGTAAATAAATGACTAAATTTCCTTTTTCATCACAAATTAGTGGTAATTTAACTAAACTTGAAGGGCTTGTGCGCAAATACATAAAAATGCAGAGTTCAAAGAACCTCAAAGTTTCCAAAAATTACATGAAAACCAGAGAAGCATATAAACCGTGAGGAAGACAGATCAGTCAAAGAGTCAGTTGGGCAGACGACGTGAGCCTTTGACGGTATCCTCTTTCTCTCTCGTCATTTCGTCTCTCCTTCTCCAAATCTCCCGGTGAGTTTCCGACCTTTGTCTCTGCCTCATTCTCTCGCTCCTTAGCTCGGTTTTCCTGAAATCGTTTCTTCGTTGATGGGTGCTCCTTAATTTCTCCAAAAATGTCACCTTTTCTGCCTCCGTCTCGGAGAAATTCTCTGCTTTTATTGTCCGAATGTCTAAATTTGCTTGGTGTGTCTCTTTTGAAAACTTGTTTGGTTTGGCTGTTTCGTTTCTGAATTTCATAGTGCTGAAATTTCGAACCTTTCTGTGTAGGATATACTGAAAGCTGGGTTTTTTTAAGTATGAGCAACAAAGATGAGGCTCTTCGAGCCAAAGATTTGGCAGAAGATTGGATGAGGAAGTCGAATTTCCCGACTGCTCGTAGAGTTGCAGTGAAAGCCCAGAAAATGGACGAGACCCTTGAGAACATCGCTCGCATTATACTGGTTTGCGATGTTCACTGTGCAGCATTGGAGAAATCTGGGGATGAGACGGATTGGTACAAGATTCTCCAAGTCGATCAGAACGCAGACGACACCACGATCAAGAAACAGTACAGGAAGCTTGCCCTTCATCTCCATCCGGACAAGAACAAGCTCCCTGGTGCCGAATCTGCTTTCAAGACCATTGGGGAAGCTCAAAGGGTTCTCTTGGACAAGGACAAGAGGAGGATTCACGACATGAGACGCAAACCCTCCTTCAAAAAACCAGCTTCTGCACCGTCGTTTCAACAACAACAAGCTCCAACCACGGCTTATTACACTCAGCCTGTCTTCAAGCCAAACGTCAATGCGACCAGGAACAGCTTCAACGCGGGTTACAGTGGTCAGCCTTCTTTCCAGACCAATGTCAATGCGACCAGGAACAGCTTCAACGCGGGTTACAGTGCTCAGCCTTCTTTCCAGACCAATGCGGCTAGGAACAGCTTCACGACGGGTTTGAGACCTGAGAACCAGCAAAGACCTCAAGCTCAACCAACTGGTGGACCGAGCTTTTGGACAGAATGCGCCTTTTGTCACTTGAGGAATGAGTATCTGAGGGAATATATGAACAAGCTAATGGGTTGTCCACGTTGCGGTAAGCAGTACCTTGCAATTCAAATCGCTGACCAGACTCCACCAGCTCAGGCGAGTTTCTCCTTCTTTCAACAGAAAGCGGTTCCAACTCAAGAGGCTGGCAAGGCAGCGGAGAAGCAGCCGGAGAATCCCGCCAGAGTTTCCCCAAGAAAAGAGGGCTCTAGAGCAAAACGCTCGGGTACTACTGCCGCTGAGAAGAACAAAGGGAAGAGAAAGAGGAAGGGGATAGTTGAATCCAGTAACAGCTCTCCCAGTAGCTTCGAGTGGGAAGAAGTTTCAGCTAGTGGGCAGCACTCACGGAGATCAGTCCGGAGCAAGAATGACAAGAAGAAAGAAGCTGGTGACATTGCTGAAGAATCTGAGTTGAGAAGGAAGTCACACCTCTTTGCAGAAACCTTGCCAAATGGTAAGGTTAAAGAAGACCAAGTGGGAAGCAGCTCTAAGGGCTCTGGTGCCTGTGATGAAGTAGAGGAAATAAGCTCAGAGAGTGAGTCAGACGTGGAGATTTCGCAGTGTGCTGATCCTGACTTCTCAAACTTTGACAAGTTGAGGGAAGAGAGTTGCTTTGAAGTTGGCCAGACATGGGCAATGTATGACAAGGATGATCAACTGCCTCGATATTACGCCATGATCAGAAAAGTCTGGAAGAAACCATGTTTCAGGCTTAAGATAACGTGGCTAGAGGCTAGGCCAGATGATGAGAGAACAAAGGAGTGGATTGGCAGAGATTTACCCATCTCTGTTGGGAAGTATCAACTTCGCGGAGAGGAGAAGACAAATGAAATCCCATCCTTCTCTCATCAGATCGAGTGCAGAGTCAGAGGCAAGAAAGATTTTGTCACTGTACACCCAAGAAAGGGAGAAACATGGGCTCTCTTTAAGAACTGGGACATCAACTGGTCCTTTAGCCATAAGTATGTGTTTGATTATGCTCTGATCTTGTCAGAGTTTGCAGAAGGGGTTCCTATAGAGGTGGCGTTCTTGGAAAAAGTGAAAGGCTTTGCAAGCGTCTTCTCTCGAACTGCACCTGGTGTTGGAAGATCAGACACGTTTCATATTCCACCTCACGAGTTGCTTAGATTCTCGCACAGCATTCCCTCAACCAAGTTGACAGGGGAAGAAAGGAGTGGCGTTCCCGTTGGTTCTTACGAGCTCGACACAGCTGCATTACCAGATGTAGCTATCCCTGTCTCACGAGAAGCTGCCAAGTCAAACAAACTCCATCGTCGCTCACCGGCTTCGTCAGAGCCAGGCTGTGTCCTCATTCCTAGCTTCCAGTTCAATGACTTCAGCGCTGAGAGACTAGAGGGGAAGTTTGTAGTTGGCCGGATATGGTCATTGAACAGCAAGGAGGATGACTTGCCCAAGAACTACGCCGTGATTCAGCAGATAACATGGAAGCCGGAGTTCAAACTGCAGATAGCAAGGTTAGAGCCGAAATCACTTCCTGAGAATGTTACAGCGTGGCGTGACAAGAAAATGCCAGTCAGTTGCGGAAAATTCATCTGGAAGAGTGGCCAGGTCGAGGTACTCACTCACGTCACTGGTTTCTCACATGAGATCAAGGCACAGCAGCATTCGACGAAGAAGAACAAGTACACGATCCTCCCAAAGACTGGAGAAATATGGGCAATGTACAAGAACTGGAGTCAATCAATGAAGGTGGGAAGCTTGAAGAAGTGGGAATACGAGGTTGTTGAAGTCCTTAACGAGAATGAGAGCGAAATCGAGGTTTTGGTGTTAGAACGGGTGCGCGAGTTTGTTTCAGTCTTCAAGGAGAAAGTGGAAGGAGGCGTCGATGAGAAGCACAAGATCCCGAGGAGTGAGCTTCTGAGATTCTCTCATTACGTTCCTGCTTTCCGGTTAACAAGTGAGAGAGAGGGAACTCTTAGAGGCTGTGTTGAGCTTGATCCAACTGCCTTGCCCCGTCACTTACTCAGATCTTAGACTAATATTCTGGTAGGGAGGTTTGTTTCGTTGTTACAAGTAATTGGTAGTAGTAATTTTCAGACGTTAAACTTGGCATTGGAAACTCTCTTTAACTACTACAAAATGTGGAATCCTTTTGGTGAGATCGCTTATATGTGCCTTTTGCTATATTTTATCACTTGTGTATTACAGCATCAATCAGTTTCAGCCACAATTTTGGTCGTTAAGTGAAATGAGTGACAAGGATACAAGATATTATTTGCCAAAGTTGAGCAACAAGGGCGTTTGGTCTAGTGGTATGATTCTCGCTTTGGGTGCGAGAGGTCCCGAGTTCGATTCTCGGAACGCCCCTTTTTTTATACATTTTATTGAGGTCTAGAGGAAACATCAATCCCATTTTTCCACGGTTTTTTTAGTGTAAAGACTATCAGAGAGATGTAACGTTGATGAGCTCTCTTCACACCATCTTACTGTTTCAGATGAATCTATCTATTCAGCAATTTGCCCTTCGAATATACAAGTTTTAATAAAGAAGAGAAGAAACTACAAAAAAAAGGATGAAACGTTCTTTATACTAAGTTCCGGTTCTGTTGTTGCCGGAGAAGCCGAGAGGAACAACAAATGTACAACACGTTTAAGCCCATTGCAATCCCGAAACCCAAAATGCCCGCGAAAAGCATTGAATATACAACCGGTATAGCAGCCTGAAACAAAGATGTTTTTGCATGAGAACTTCTTCCAATCGTATTTCTGAAAGTAGGTGTTTTTAAGTATTTCAAAGATCAAAACCTATGGTTTAGTATTTACTTACTTGAACGTAAAACAGATGAACAAACAAGGCCACTAGTGCGAACTCGAGAGCTGCGTAAGTCCATATGTATTCTCTAACAGCTGCATGTTTGGATGTTAATCATATGATTTGTGTCAGGGATCAATAAAAAAAGGAATTGGGAAATTCTTTAGGGAGGGGTATTATACCGAGGATGACGGCAAGAGTTGAGGATATTAGACCAAAGGTGAATGAAAATGGTGCTGCCACAAAGATAGCCTGTGTATTCAAGTCACGAATCTACACAACATATTAAAAAACCAGTGTCATATTATGCTATCTTTGTAATGAAAGAGAAGATCTTTCAAATGCTCAGAGGGGAAAAACAAGCATTACCAGTAAATGTTCAAGGAAGAAGAAGTAGCAGACAGCGCTGATGAGTACAAGCACTGCAAACTCTTGACCGAGACTGCACCATTTAACCGATCTTCAGTTCTCAAGTGTTTTTCAAGAAAAAAAGAGAAGAATTTGAAAGTGTTCTGATTTACCTAACGGCTTGTGGCTGTTGATTCCGCTGAGTGAGTTCCCGTCTATTGGTAAGTTGATTGATTGTTGGGACACGGAGCAAGATCACTGGTAAGTTCCGGACTTCTTGCCTGCAAACGTCGCAGATTCTCGTTCCCTTTGTACTAAACCACTTGATGGCACAGTGTTCATGAACGAGCCTGAGGTCGCCTTTGCAGCTGCATTCCATTTTCAGTGTGTTGCCTTCTTCGCACACATCGAGACAAATCCTGCACACCGCTTCTTCTTCAGGGATCTCTTCTTCTGTTTCTTCCGCAGGAACCGGAGTGATTTGATCTGCTAATCACAAACACAATAAAGAAGAAACATAAATGTGTAGACTTGCCATTTCATTGATCAAAAATCATATTTTTTGAACTGATAATGCGTCTTGTGAATCAATCTATTCCTCATATAAACATCCAACACTCAGCCTTCCCATGAATCCGTAAAGCAGCTATCAAATACAGAAAGAGCTCAAATTTTCAGGGAAAATTAGCACATACCACCACTTGCTTCATTCGAAATGTGATCTTTGTTTTGGTCAAAAGAGACAGCTCGTACAATCACTTTGTTTCTCCCTGGCATGGACAGTGATCTTGAAACTGATGATGGACCATCGTTCTGCACAAAACCAAACTCCAACCTTTACTTTAACAAGAAGATCCATGATGAAAAATCAAAACTTTTCCACACACTACAAATCAAAACAATGATAGACTCACACTAGATCTAGCTGGTTCACTCTGAGCCACAGCTGAAACAGGGGGTGTAGATGTAACCAGAGCCAATTTAGCAGCATTTGTAGAAGGAAGTGACAAACATCTTTTCCAATATGGAGAAGTGACCGGGCTTGTAACAAGAGGCTTTTCGTTGGTTTCTGTAACGCTGGGACCAAGTAGCAATCTTCTCTCGTAGTTTGGTAGAGAAGCTTTCCTTTTCAGGCTCAGATTTCGCAAGATTCCTAAATTCGGCGAAGGTTTTGGCGGTATTTGGATTGAAACATCCAATTGGCTTCCATTTGGTTGAGATCTGGAGACATCTTCGGTAGATTGTTCTTTCACCTGATGATGATTAGATAAAAAATCAATCTTTCTGCAATTCTACAGTGAAGCAGACTCAATCATTGTAAATAACTGAATAAATCTTTCCGATTGGGTAATCTCAGATTTCAGTGATAAGCTAAAATGAGATATCACAAACTTGAATCATCAAACGATACAAATTACTAGAAGATGTAAAACCCAGAGAAAGGGTTTAAAGCGATTCGGTAAAATAACGATATAAATTGAGATATCGAGTACCTGAGAAGAAGGAGAACAAGTAGGAGGAGGAGGAGGAGTAGAAGAAGACGGAGAATCTTTAGCGACGCCGGAGTTTCTGGGTGATGATTGTATTGCGGATTCTTGCATCGTCATCGGACTAATCAAAAATCAAACCAATTTCTCAAGAGATTTATTATATGTAATTAAATTTTCCATGGACATATATTCTGAGCCACAGAGAGAAAGCAATCTAATAAAATGAGTTGAAATTTTTTTCCTTTTTTGCTTCTTCCTTTTCTGTTAATTAAGTATTTACCTAAATCGACTACTGAAATGACTTCTTTACTTTATGTGTGTGTGAAATTGACACATTGCAACGAAATCCACCATTTTTTCATGTCAACTGAAAGTAAATTAGTCAAAACGTTTTCCTATTGATTCTAGGAAGACCACAAACAATTATAAAAAACAATGCGATCGAGTATTCACCATAATTAGCTTAAATCAGTGTTTCCTTACGATGTAGATTCATATGCGTTTCACACAATCAGTGATTCATATGCGTTTCACTCGCACAATTTACCAAAACACAAATGAGAGGAGGAGTACAGAAGGCCCATTATTTACACTATACTCATTTGGGCCGACCAGATTTGAATCCGTAGAGAAGGCCCATTATAAACCCTCTGCTCAATTTTTTGAAGCAAAAAAGAAAAAGAAGCGCGAGCGTTAGTTAGTTAGAGAGGGAAAAATAAAGAAGCAGAGAAGACGAACAGTGAAGTTGACAAACCCTAACATTTTTAGGGAGACGATTGCTCGACAAATCGAAGAACACGAGAGAGAGGTTAAATGGAGAAGGAATTTCACAAGTACCTAAAGCGGTTAGTTCTTCTTTGATCTTTTCCCTTTTTCCAATGCGTTTCGAATCTCATTCTTCTCATCAATGTAACTCTGCAATTTTTTTGTTTCTGCCTTTAACGATCCTTTTTGACAACTTCGTAGTTAGATTCGAGAAATTGAGGAGTTTCATTATTGAATTTTACAGGGAGGGTCTCTCATCTCGATCAGTTCGAGAGGAAGATCGAATTTTCAGAGGGGAAGATTTGATCAGCTCATTACCGGAACCGTTACTATGTCACATTCTTAGCTTCCTCACGACCGAGGAAGCCGTCTGGGCAAGTGTTTTGTCCTCACGATGGAGATATCTCTGGAAATGGGTTCCTAGATTAGAATTAGACAGCCATGATTTCACAAACGACAAAACGTGTGTGGCTTTCATCGACGAATTTCTCCATCTCCAGGGCAAATCCTACCTGCGTGAATTCAAGCTAACCATTGACCAAGACGACGAACTTACAAACCCTGAAAACGACGCTTCTCTCTACGGGCCGTGTCTCTCTAGAGTGGATAAACGCAAGATTCAACATTTCCAAGTTGAGACTCGAAAGGGACGTTGGAGCCGCTCTGACGAAACCGAGACGCCACTAACACTCTCTGTATGCGAGTCCTTGGTTTGCTTGAAGCTTCATTTCGTAGAGCTGAAAGATTCCGAGTCTCTCTCCTTGCCCTGCCTCAAGACCATGTACTTGGAAGACGTGATATTCCCTAGCGACGCGGCTGCAGAGGCGCTGATCTCGTCCTCTCCGGTTCTTACAGTTCTAAAAATATCTCTGAGTAAAAACGATGCTGTGGTGGTTTTACGCGTCTGCTCACAGTCGCTAAAGAGCTTCACTCTGAAACGAGCAGATCCTGTTTATAATATTAGACATGGACATGCGGTTGTGATTGATACACCGAGGCTCGAGTATCTGAGTCTCATGGATCACCAGTTCCGAGACTTCAAGATAATCAGCATGAGTGACTCTGTCAAGGTTGATATCGATGTCGAGTTTGAGATCATACGTAGCTACTCGTAGGAAAGAAACGTCTTCTATGATTTTTTCAACAACTTTTCAGGTGGTGTTGGAGATATGACCATCTCATGGCAAACTCTTAAGGTATATATAAAACTGAGGACAAGCTCTAATTTTTCCTATTATCATTTTCTTACCCACTTCTTGTTCTTGTTTCTCTTCTCTTTTTGCTGACAGAAAATCGATACTTTCCATGACATGAACCCACTCCCCAAATTCCATGGATTGACCCGTTTGCGAGCTACTATATGCTCATACTCTATGAGAGTATTACCAATCGTTCTTGAGAGCTGCCCGAATCTGAAACACTTAACCTTGGTAATGACTTGCTTAAATTTTTTGCAACTTGTTACAGTTTTTAGTCTGATTATTTCTGTCGGTTTATGTTTTGCAGGAACTGGTTAGTGATGATTTTCCAGTGCGAGAGGTGGTTGTATTCTCGACTGCGCAGTCTCGTTGTTTGGATTCGTCCCTTGAAACCGTTGAAGTCGTAAGCCCGGTCACGGAGGAAGAAACTGAACTGGAACTTGTTAGATTTTTTCTTGGAGAATTCGACGACACTGAAGAAGCTCGTTCTACGCTTGGATGAGTCTAGTGGAGAGCAACAACACGATCCTGATGTCTTGGAAGAGCTCATGGAATCTCCAAGAGGCTCTAGTTTGTGTCAGTTTGAAGTTGTTCCAGTGATTCCAACTCCAAATCCTTGGCCTGAATGGATTATTCATACAAAATCCAATAGGTTTTAAACTGGATAAAAGGAACTGTAAAATATGCAAAAGCATGGATAATGTTCTATTTTCTGTTTTCTTATTTTGGGCAAGATTATCAAACATGTTTATATGTATGCTTAAACCTTTAAGCATATAAATGCAGTGTTATCGTTGTCAAAGTTAGCAAGAGGAAGGAAACATTTCCCACACCACTCACTAATCACTTTCAGTCTATCACTGAGAGTAAGCACACATTCACAACCGTGGAATCAATTGGGCCGACCTGGTCCAAGTCCGTAAAGTAGTAGGCCCATTATATTCTCTTAACACTCAAATTTTTAGTTTTTTACTGAGAAAAGGAAAAGAAGCGCGAGCTTGTTCTGCTTGAGAGAGAGAGAGAGAGAGAGGGAAAAAAGAAGAGAAGACAGAGCAGTGCAGTCACAGAGAGATTCAGAGGAAGAAAGCAAATCCAGCCTAGAATACCAACCTTGGCTATCGGGAGGACAGTTCATCGATAAACCCTAACATTTTAGGGAGACGATTGGTCGATAAAATCGAAGAACTGGAGGGAGAGGTTAAAATGAGGGATTTTATTAAGTACCGAAAACGGTAAGTTCTTTCTTCTTTGATCTCTTCCCTTTTTTTCGTATGCGTTTCGAAATTCGAATCTCACTCTTTTATAGAGATCTTACTAAAGATCGAGCATTTTGAAAATTCCGTAGTTAGATCTCGCGAAATTTAGGAACTTTGATATAAGTTTTAGAGAGTTTCAAATTTTCAGGATTGGTCTCTCATCTCGATCAGTTCGAGAGGAAGATCGAATTTTCAGAGGAGAAGACAGGATCAGCTCACTACCCGAACCGTTACTATGTCACATACTTAGCTTTCTCACGACCGAGGAAGCTGTTTGGGCTACTATTTTGTCCTCTAAATGGAGATACCTCTGGAAATGGGTTCCTAGACTAGAACTAGACACCGCTGATTTCACAAACGACAGAACGTGTGTTGATTTCATCGACGAGTTTCTCAATTTCCAAGGCAAGTCCTACCTGCGTGAATTCAAGCTACGCATCAACCAAGAAGAGCTAAACTCTCAAAACAAACTCTCTCTTTACAAGCAGTGTCTCTTTAGAGTGGATAAGCGCAAGATTCAACGTTTCCAAGTCGAGAATCGGCTGGATCGTAGGAGCAGTGGTGGTGGCTTTATGACGTCATTAACACTCTCTGTGTGCGAGTCCTTGGTATGCTTAAAGCTCCATTTCGTAGAGCTGAAAGATTCCGAGTCTCTCTCCTTGCCCTGCCTCAAGACCATGTACTTAGAAGACGTTGTATTCCCTAGCGACGCGGCTGCAGAGACGCTGATTTCTTGCTCTCCGGTTCTTGAAGTTCTAAAAATATCTCTGAGTATATATGATGTGGTAGTGGCTTTACGTGTCTGCTCACAGTCACTGAAGAACTTCACTTTAAAACGAGCGGATCCTGATCGTCGTGTAAAAGGTGCGCATTCGGTTGTGATTGATACTCCGAGGCTCGAGTATCTGAGTCTCATGGAGTACCAATCCAAAAGCTTTAAGATGATCAGTATGAGTGACTCTGTCAAGGTTGATATTGATGTCAACCTTAAGCCAATGTGGCATGAGTTATCGGAAAGAAATATCATACATAGTCTTCTCGACAATTTCTCACGTGTTGGAGATTTGACAATCTCATGGCAAACTCTTAAGGTATATACAAAACTGATTAGTGATTACAATCTCTAACTTTTTATCAGTGATCATTGTCTTTACTCACTTCTTGTTCTTGTTTCTCTCTTCTCTTCTGCTTACAGATAATCTATACTCTCATACGCATGAACCCACTGCCTAAATTTCATGACTTGACCCGTTTGCGAGCTACTATGTGCTCAGAAGCCGCTCTTGAACTATTGCCGATCGTTCTCGAGAGCTGCCCTAAGCTGAAACATTTAACCTTGGTGAGAATTTGCGTGAACTTTGCAAGTTTCCTACCAAAGAAACGTTTCATTCTTCTCATTCTTCTCATTTCTGGATTATATGCCGTCGATTTGTGTTTGCAGGAATTGGTTGGTGATAATACAGTGGCAGTGAGGACAAGACTCCCGACTGTGGTGCCTCGCTGTTTGGTATCGTCCCTTGAATCTGTTGAAATTGAAAGCCCGGTCACGGAGGAAGAAATTGAACTGAAACTGGTTAGATACTTTCTGAAGAACTCGACAACACTCAAGAAGCTCGTTCTACGCTTGATTCAGCCACGCGGGTCTCCTGAAAAGAACCACAAGCCTGGTGTCTTGAAACGACTCATTAAGTATCCAAGACGCTCTAGTTTGTGTCAACTTGAAGTTGTTCAAGTGGTTCCAGCTCCGAATCCGCTGCTTGATTGGTGTGTTTATACAAAACCAGACAGGTTCTTCTAAACTGGAACTGTAAAAATATGCAAAAGCGTGAGCAACTTTTCCGCGGAGACAGCACAAGATGACACTAGAGAGAATCGGCTAATCAGGGACCTGCTTCAAGCATACATTGTTCGAGATGGATCTATAGTTGGCTCAGCCCATTCCATGGCTTCCTTTTCATTTATTTTGCTCTGTTTTTATTTTGTCCATGTTGCAACCATGCTCTTTTTGAGAAACTTTTTTTTCTTTCTTTTTTGAGAAAAAAATGAAATCTTAGGACTCAAGAAACAACAGTTGTGAATCACTTTTGACTTCCGAGGAACGAGATGGGCCATTTTGATTATGTAGCAGAGATATACGCATACTTAATAGAGCTTCACTGTTAAGTCTTAACACTAGTGGATTTTGGCGAAATCATTTTGCTGATGATGAAACTAATGGTAATCATCATGCGACTGTTGTGGTTTTAAACACTAATGGTTATTACACAGAATTCCCCACTAGTCTTTTGACTATGCACAGTTGCACACGATTACAAGAAAGTCAAAAATGACGACGAGTGTTTTAAAGGATTTTTAAGCGTATTCTTTTTAGAAAAAAAAAAAATATAGATTTGAGGAATTATTCGCACAAGAGGATTTCATCTGTGCCGGAATATTCGATCTCCGGTAGGTTATTTCTCCATAATCTTACTTTACTCTATTATGAATGTGATCCATCACTGAACTGAATTGTTTTAGTTTAAACGATCGATATAAGGGATCAAGCATGATATTTGTCAATTTGGAGAAATAAAGTTTTGCTGCCAATTTGTAATATTCGTATCTAATCACTTGAATATTCAGGTTGTTTGATTCTCACCGAAAATCGAAAGAAGCTATGCAAGAACGACGAATTAGGACAGGTGGAGAAGACAGGATAAGCATATTGCACGAATCGTTGCTATCTCATATACTTAGCTTTCTTACGACCAAGGATTCTGCTAGGACAAGCGTTTTGTCCTCTAGATGGAGACATCTCTGGCTATGGGTTTCTAGATTAGACTTGGACGAATCCGACTTCTCGGAGGACAACACGTGTTCGAGCTTCGTCGATAAGTTTCTTAATCTCCGAGGCGAATATTCATCACTCTTGCTCGGATTCAAGCTACACACTCACCACGACGTCGATGGAAACTCTCCATTGGAGGCGTCTCTGATGAGAGTGGTGAAGCGCAAGATTCAACATTTCGAAATCGACAACAACTTTGGAATCTGCATCGTTCTCAGCCCTCTAATCTTCTCGATCTCTGACACATTGGTGACCTTGAAACTCAGTTTCGTAATTTTAAGCGATGTCGAGTTTTGTTGTACTTTGCCTTGTCTCAAGGTCATGCACTTGAACAAAGTCATCTTTCCAAGCGACGAGGCTGCAGAGACACTAATCTCTTCCTCTCCGGTTCTTATGGAATTAGAAATGAAACATGGTAGATTCGATTACGTACAAGTCTTACGTGTTCGCTCTGCTTCACTGAAGAGCCTCACTCTAAAACGGGCTGATCCTGATGACTTTGAAAACGGTGGAGGACATGAAGTTGTGATCGATACTCCGAGGCTTGAGTATCTGAGCCTCAAAGATTACCAATACAGAAGCTTTGAGATAGTCAGTGTGAGTGAGACTGTGAAAGTTGATGTTGATGTCGTTTTTGAAGTGATTGGTGGTAATATTGGTGGGTTGATGGAAAGAAACATCATTTGTAATTTTCTAACACGTGTTTCAAATGTCAGAAACATGACCATCTCAAGGAGGACTCTTGAGGTATATATATATATGCTGATCTCTAAAGCTTTCCCTTAGAATTTTTTTAACTATCTTCTTTTGTTGGGCAGTTTATCTTTCATTACCTGGAAATGAATCCGCTGTTCAAATTCCATGACTTGGCTCGTTTGCGTGTTACTATGTTCTTAAACTCCTCTCCAAAGATGTTGCCAGTCATTCTTGAGACGTGTCCCAATCTGAAATTCCTCACCTTGGTAATGATTTTGCTTAAACTTTTGCAACTTTTTTACATAGATTCTCATCTTTGGTTTCTACATGCAGGAGTTGGTTCATGATTCTCTTGTGACGAAGGGGAGAAGTAGGCTTCTGACTCTGCTGCCTTGTTGTTTGTTATCGTCCCTTGAATACGTTGAGATTAAAAGCCCGATCACAAGGAAGGCAACAGAACTGAAACTAGTCAGATACTTTCTGGAGAACTCAGAGACACTCAAGAAGCTCGTTCTTCGTTTGAATCAGTCTACTGGAGAGAGACACGAGCCTGGTGTCTTGAAACAACTCTTTCAATCTCCAAGAGGCTCTAGTTTGTGTCAATTTGTCATTCTTTAACATTCAAGATGTTGTTTATACATAAGGCATTGTTAAACTTGGATTTATCATAAAGTATCTGAGACTTTATACTTAAAAGAAACCCACTTTCTTTTTGGGTTTTAAGGAATCAAAACAATCCACAAACTGAAACTTACAAAGTCTAAACCTTGTTCTTTGATTGATAAGTAAACTACTTGCAGAGATATGTTATGGGTTCTCCAAATGCAATGAAGCACAAAATGAAGTTTCAGTTACTTCATCTTCTGCTCAGTGAAGAGGACGTGGCGGTTGACTCGAGGATCGTATTTGCGGAACTCGAGCTTCTCAAGAAGTCCCTTGCTACTCTTCCTCTTCACGTAGAAGAATCCAGTTCCAGCAGCTGAGACTAGACGGATGAACATGAACGTCTTCTTCCTCTTGTCCCCCATTTTCTCACTTCAATACCTTCAACCAGAGAGAGAGAGAGATCACTAAAGATCAAATCTCAATTCAACATTTGCATCATGCGACCTCAAAATCTAAAGAGCAAATTGCAATCACGAACATTTCCTAAAATATTCAAGGCAAATCCATATAACTGGGCAGGATAATCTAGTCTCGTCCGAGCAGTCGAAAGAGTACGACGAATTGCATTCAATAACATCGAAAATTTCTCGGTGGTTTAACAATAAGACGCAAAGAGATTCTTTTTATAAAAAAAAAAAAAAAACATAGATCATTCAATCTATCGAAGAAATGAGAAAAAAATCGCTTGCGCGAATCACAAAATGAAACACTAAAATTTATCAAAGAAGTTTCTGAAACTTCGAGCAGATGATTTTACAGAGAGATGAATCAACGAAACTCAGAAGCTTACCGATGATGTGGCAGAAGGCGACGAAACGGCGGCGGTACGACGACGGAGAGGAATCGGGGAGTGAGCAGATGAAGAAACAGTGAGAGAGTAACAAAAACCTTTACAAAGGGACGGTCGCTAAATTATTTTCATTCGGCCCATTAAATTAATATTTTTATCGATATATTAGGCCCAATAAGGCCCACTGTTCTTTCAGCTACTCACCTGGTTCTGTTCTCTATCACCCTCTCTCTCTCTCTCCTATTTCGTTCGTAAACTCAGTGGAGAAGAAGATCCAAAATCGATCCGTTGAAAAGGTATGACGATGTTCGTTTGTCTGCTCCTTCACTCGCTATCTTCCTGTTAGCTTGTATTGTGGATTTTTGGATTTTGATTTTCTCATTTGGGGATTGCGATTAGATTGGATTAATTTTAATCTTCTCAATTTGGATTCAGCTAAGGGATTTCGAATTTCTGAGCTATGTCGAGTGCGGTGGACGCGAAAAGTGCGGTGGACGCGACAGGGAACCCGATCCCTACTTCTGCGGTGTTGACGGCGTCGGCGAAGCACATTGGTATGAGATGTATGCCGGAGAACGTTGCGTTCCTCAAATGCAAGAAGAACGATCCAAACCCTGAGAAGTGCCTCGAGAAAGGTCGTGAGGTCACTCGCTGCGTGCTTGGCTTGTACGTATCTTTGCTCACTTTTTCCGTTTTATCTCTTTGCTCAGTTTTGGCCTTCTTTGGTTGATTGCGTTTAGGAAGCCTTGTGCTTACGTTGATGAAGATATTGAGTATAAAGTGGTTGATTTTGGGTTATGATCATAGAGAGTGTAAGCCTGGTATTCAGCAATGGCTAGCCGAATGAGTAGAGATTTGTGGTTGATTTTTCTGGACTCCACGAAGTTAGGAACTATAAGGATTTGATTAGTTCGTTTGTGCAAAACTGTACTTCACTAGTTGAGAAAAAGCATCTGAAGATAGCTGTTTGTAGAACTTGGGTTGTTTTTTGGGTTTTTATATCATCACTCTCACATGTTGGCCAAGTAGAGATAGATTCATACCATGTTTCTGTTCACAAACTTCTCATAGTTTTTTCCCTTGACTAAAAGCTATTTAGAAACCATTTTCTTCCCTTCGAGTGTTGGTCTAAGGCTTACTTTGATGTTTATAACTTGTTAGTTATACAATGATACAATGGTTTAATAAATATCAAACCAAGATTAGTAATGTTATTCGCATTATATGGTACATATGGTAAAGAGTGGGGTTGATGGATTGATGGATTTTTCAGGCTGAAGGATCTTCACCAGAAGTGTCAGAAGGAAATGGATGACTATGTTGGGTGTATGTATTACTACACAAACGAATTTGATCTGTGTAGGAAAGAGCAAGAAGCCTTCGAGAAAAAGTGCCCCCTCAAATGAGAATCGCAAGTTATTGTCTTTGTCTTGATTTGTATCTCCTAATAAAGCAAAATGGTCATTTTTGAATGAGCCTTACTCTTCTTCTTTTTATTTGTCATCCCAATTTTTACTATCAAATGCTTTGTTAGCGAGTTCTGAAAGACAAAACCAAATGACTCCGTTTTCATTGTTCGATGGTTTTTGGATTTCTCGACGAAGAATCTGTTTTATGTGCTTATCTTTTACTATACTTCGACAGTTGACACTACTAGTCTACTAGTGTTTATAAAATTCTTCATTCAATTTTATCCAGACTTTATACGGTTGGGATCTGTTTCTCTGGTTATGCTTGTGGATACATAAGTCTGTGAATTTACCAAGACAAAAAAGTGTTCTCCCGAGAAATGTTTAGATGCATTACCACAAAAAAGGGAGAAAAGACAGTAATGGCATTAGGTACGTAAGAACAAATGAAACAAACAAACAGACACCAAAGAGCAAAAAGAAAGGCAGTTAAAACTCCAGCTCTTATGTTCCACTCCACTTCAAAACAGAGATCAACGACTGCAAGGAAACATAACTATACATCATCAGACACAGATATATTTGAGCCCAAGACAAAAACAATAGCAGTGATGTCGTTACCTGATGGACCGAGAACGTGACCTTGACAGACTTCGAGACCTGACTGGAGAGACCACCTTCTCCTCACGGGGACTTCTACTTGGGCTTCGAGACACATTGATAGATTTGTGACCCCTCTCCTTACGGGGCAAAGGGGAACGGGAAATTGATCTTGACCTTCGAGGAGAGTATGAATCACGCTCTCTTGCTTTATTGTGCCTGCGCCAGTGACAAAAGGGGTAATTTGAACGCTCAAATACTAAGACAACTGACCTTTTCTAAAGCATATAATATCGAATGCAAACATATTACAAATGTTCTTCAGATGGCCCTATTCAGACTCTTCCACAATCTACAATGCCCACTCTGATGAGCAGGCGCCAAAAAAACTTGAAAGATCACTCTTCTCCAACTTTTTATGGAACAAAAGAGGTCCAAATCCACTATTTTCTCCGACTTTAGGAAACAAAACCTATCATTAACCGTGTGGAATTTCTCTACTGGTCACAACTTTGAATGGCTCCCATTTCTCCAAATATAATTCTTTCTTTGGCTAACTATAAGCTTTTTCATTCATTCTTTGACTGGATAACAGAATGAAATTTACACAAAAAGATAAGTCAAACTGAACTCAGTACGGACCATAAACTCTCTCACAAAAACTACAGATTACCAGTTGACAAAGTGCAATCCTAGCTCTAGCTAACAAAAACTGGTGAGCAACATTTTTATACAAGAATTATCCAATTTGTGCCTTATCGTTGTATTAGCCACCCACAACTGGCAGACAGTCTAAGCGACTAGTAAAGATTGCTTATTTGCATTCACACTACCGAGTTCCAATAAAACAAATAGCGTAATTGAAGCGAGCACGTGACGAATAAAGCAAATGCATAATAGTTAAGATCCAAACCTTGGTTCTCGCCTTGCCGGAGAAAGCGAACGTGAATGAGCTGATGAGCAAGAGAGGACTCAGTTAGTTAGCATCACAAGGAACAGAGGTATTGTTCTACATCAAACAATAACTTGTTAACTGTAGCTGTCCGGAAATGTATCAAGAAAGGCCACAGAGCTACTTACAACGGTATCTGCGCCTTGGTGATCTGCGTGAAGTCCTCCTGGAGTCACCATATCGACCACTGTATTAAAACAAAAGAAAAAGTTGGGGCTATCTGAGGAAAATTACTTACAGGGAAGACTGATACAAAAACAAGAAAACGGATTTTGTCACCTTGTATGGCTAGTTGTACGCATTTCTCGTGGAGTTTTCCGGTTCTCCTCAGCAAACACAATGGTTATCTCACGCCCACCAATAACTTTGTGATTCATTCGCTTCAACGCCTCAGCTGCATCCTCAGCATAACGGTACTTAACAAACCCAAACCCTCTCGGCTCCCTAAACCACAAAACATCATCAGATCAAAGTTAAAGATACCTACTTGGGTAACACCAAAAAAGGTTCCCAATAAGAACTAGCTCTTTCTCGCCGTTTCACACATAAGGTTACGACCATGACCATTTGTACTGTCAATTCTCAGTATCCATGTAGATCAAATCCATCAGAGAGAAAGTAGAACACAATTTTCGAAGAATTAACCAGTAGAGTTAAAGATCATCTAGAAAATAACTATAAGCATCTGATTAGAGTAGACAGAGAGATTCACACATACCCAGTATAATAATTCCTCGGCAGATATATGTCCTTGAGTGGTCCAAACCGCTCAAACGAATCCCTAAGATCGTTCGGCCTGGAAACAAAACGAGCAAACAGCTAAGAAATTGTGCCAATAAGAACCGAAAGAGGTTGTTTAATCAAGCAAATGCGAACGGATTGCTCCATAAACAGCTTCAAAACAAGTTCTAAGGCTTAGGAATTCGTAAAAAATCGACACACCTCGACTAATCAATCGTCTCTCCGAACATAATTTTTCCAATATCATACATAGAGTGTGAGTGAGAGAGAGAGAGAATGACCTAGCATCGAGAGGGAGATTACGGATGAGCAAACCAGAAGGATCAGAGGAATCGCGGTCACGAGAAGACAGGCGTTCACGGTGGCGATTCTCGTCGTAGCTTTTCCGCTCGCGCGGTGGTGACCTGCTACGGGGACGGGGACTATAGCTTCTGCTCCGGCTCCTCGCTCTGGCCATCGCGATTCCCCGGTTTCCCCAGAAAAAATCGTCCCAGAAATTGAATCGCAAAACCCCAACCCAATCTGAGAAAGAGAGAGACACAGCAGCAAAAGCAATATGTGTAGGGAGTAAATTTGGAGGGAGAGACGAAGAAATCGACCACCGTCACTGAGTTTTCAAAACAACAGTTGCCGGAAGCCAGCTACGGTGAGGCTTGTTTTGGGCCTGCAGTTTTTAGATATCTATGGGCTTGTGGTCCAATTTTATAAAACCATATCACATACCATTTTCTGGGTAAGATAAAGGGTCATTAGAAATTCATTATCTACTCATGGAGCCATGGAGGGTTTGTTAATTGTTAGATAGATAAAAATTCAAATTATTATTTGAATGCACTGTTTTATTCCGAGATCACCATTAAGCTTTGTTTGAAAAACAACATAAACTACTAAAGAGTAAAGACACACACACACAATGTATCAAAAATGGGGAAATAAAACCAGCATATTAGTATGTTCACATCGAGTATTTATAGACAGTGGTGGTGGTGGATGCTAAAATGAGTTACGAGTAATTTTTCTCATGAAAATTGCGGTGGCAGCCACATACGGCACAAAAGAGAGCCCCTTCCTTGTCGGCTGCCAAGAACTCGCGGCAACCATCGTACGACATACTCTTGCCTAAATGAGCCGCATGGTTCTTTGCGCACACCCCATATTTAACTATCGCATTTGTAATATCAAACTCCTGAAATCAGCGTTAGTACAAAATCAAATAAACATCAACCAAAATCATTAGCCCTTCATACACTTCCTGCGCCACGTAATTTTCAGTCCATCTACTAATTCTGTAAAGCACATATGTTCATTACGTGAACATGTATCCATCAATCGACCTACCTTTGTAACAACTTTGCGATGGAAACAAACATGACAACCGCAACCTGCGCAAAACAAGGCCTCCGGCGTTCCTTCCTCTCCGCCGGCAAGAAAGTGCTTACAATAGTCTTTCTTCACTCCATCAATCCTATTGAAGCACATTCCATAAGTAACAGTTTCTTTCCACATACTCATCTTTGTTGAACTATCTTTCTTTCTTTCTTTTTCTAATTGGAATAACTCGAGTTCTGTCCTTGATCGCTTGAGGGACAACATCTCAATGGCTTTGTCTTAACAAAAAAGACTCTTACTTTTGAATCATAAAATGTTTTGGGTTGACTTTTTTCTTTTGAGGATGTCAATGCAAACTTGCAAAGCCATCGACCAAGTCCTGATTATAGTTATTTTGGAACAGAAAAATGTCAAAATAATACAGGCACAAATCAGAATATGATACACACGTTATCTTCTCAACTGAAATTCCAAATGAACATTTCAACATCCAGATATGCTATTTAATTAGGAACATTTCTAAGAAGGTTTTGGTTAGAGTGCTCTACAAGTTTTCGTTTGGTTAGCATTTCCAATAAGTTTTTGGTTTCGGTTTGGTCAGAAACCAGAAAACCGAAAGTGGCGAAAAATCGCTAGTTTAATTATTAGCAAAAATAAAATAAATTAAAGAGTGCAGTATATTACTATTGTGTTTCAGCTTCTCTGCGCTAACACAGCCGCCGACGAACAGATTCACGAAAAAAATGGCATCCCGATTGTTGTGGGCTTCTTCTAGAGTGGCTTCTCGTCTCAGGATCTCCGTTTCTCAACGAAGCTTCTCTTCTGGTGAATCTCCATCTCCTTCATCTACACTCCATTTTCTCCTTGTTCGATTTCTTTGAGAAATGTTCTGCCTTTTTGATCAGTAAAATGTTCTTATAAAGTAAGCCCTTTAAAAAAAAAATTCTTATAAAGTAATGTTATTTTTTATATCTGATCGGATCATAAACGAAATAAGGAGGCTTTGATTATCATGAGTTTATCTGATCGATTGCCTTTTTTTGCATCAAAACAAACAATTTTGTTAGATAAAAAAAAGGAAACTTTGTTTGTGTTACTCACACTGGTTGGTTTTATTTCTTTTTCTGACTAGTGGTATTGAAGGATCTGAGATATGCGGAATCACATGAATGGGTGAAGATCGAAGGGAACTGAGCGACGGTTGGTATAACGGATCATGCTCAAGAGCATTTGGGAGATGTAGTCTACGTAGAGTTGCCTGATGTTGGACGTTCTGTCTCTCAGGGTGAGAGTTTTGGAGCTGTCGAAAGCGTTAAAGCAACGAGTGATATCAATTCACCAATCTCCGGCAAGGTCCTTCAAGTCAACAACGACCTAACCGAGTCCCCTGCTTTGGTAAGTTTAGTTTAGCTTATGTAGAACATCTTAACCTTGTGAGATGATCCTTGGTTATGTGGTCTAGGGAGGATGAGAATGTTTTGTTGGTATTGTCAGGTGAATTCAAGCCCGTATGAAGAAGGATGGATCATTAAAGTGGAGCTTACTGATGCAGGGGAAGTGGAGAAGCTGATGGATTCAGACAAGTACTCCAAGTTCTGCCAAGAAGAAGATGCTAAGCACTGAGCTTTCTTGTTTGTGGAATCATTCACTCTTTGCAATATGACGACGAAAGATAACATCTAGAATGTTTTTCCATTTGTGTCAATGGATGAAATATGAACAAGTCTCTCTCGCCTTCTCTTTGTTTGTTCGAGTGGTAGAGAACAATAACAAGCTTTGAGCATTCAGATTCATTTCATATTTTTTACCAAAGTTTTGTCTCTTTGTTTCTCATTAGGCTAAACAATAAAACTACCAGATTTAACACAAAATCACACAGCGGAAAAACGTATTTCACCACCGCGTAATTTTTTTGTTTTCCTCCCTAAAGTAAAAGAAAAAAAGATAACGGACTCGTCCCACTGACTCGTCCGGGTCATCGTAATTCCAGAAACTCGCTCACCGCTAAACAAAAACAACATCAAATTAAAACCCTTGGAAAAACCTCTCCCTCGCTTCTTTTCCATATCCCGGAAGAAGACGAAATGTTCGCCGTTTCACCGTCGTCCTTCTCGCCGGCAACCATTTCTCCGGTGAGTTCCGATTCGACTTCTCAACCTTTTTGCTCTCCCAGAATCTTCTTATTTTGACCGGAGAAGTTCTCTCTCTCTCGCTCTTGTAGAAGCGTAGTGGTCTGGGGAAGAATCCTCAAGCTCCGAGGAAATTCTCGGTGGTGAGAGCAGGAGCGAAGAGGATACTATACGGGAAAAATAGCAGAGAGGCATTACAAGCCGGTATTGATAAATTAGCTGATGCTGTTTCCGGCACCTTGGGGCCTAGAGGTGAGAGAGATGATTGATGCGAATTTGGTTACCCTTTAAAACACAGAAAGTAGAAAAATTGAAGATGAGATTGAAACATTTCTTAGGGGTTGAAGAATCGATTGTTGAAATGATGCAGGGCGTAATGTAGTGCTGGCTGAAGCAGATACAATCAAAGTGATAAACGATGGTGTCACCATTGCTAAATCGATTGAGCTACCTGACACGATAGAGAATGCTGGAGCAACGCTAATCCAAGAGGTTATTCATTCATGGTGGCTAAATGATTCCCTTTTCTCCTTCGTTAGTTTCACTGTTGGAACTTTGAAAGAATTGTGAGCTTAGTAACCTGAAACTTTTGCAAGTTTGTATTGTTTTTGTAGGTTGCGATTAAAATGAACGAGTCAGCGGGTGATGGGACAACCACTGCAATCATCTTGGCTAGAGAAATGATCAAGGCTGGTTCTTTGGCAATTGCTTTTGGAGCTAATGCTGTTTCCGTGAAGAACGGGATGAACAAGACTGTTCAAGAATTGGTCAGGGTGTTGCAGATGAGAAGTGTTCCTGTAAAAGGGAAGGATGATGTTAAAGGTTACTTATTTCTTGTTGCCGTAGCTAGATTTTGATTAAGAGACCTCCTGTCCTGGTTTAAAATGGTTTAAAAACGGATTCTTCTGTTCTGTAGCTGTGGCTTCGATCTCTGCTGGCAACGATGAGTTTGTTGGGAACTTGATTGCTGAAACTGTGGAAAAGATTGGCCCTGATGGCGTCATCTCTATTGAATCATCTTCCTCATCAGAAACGTCTGTTATAGTTGAGGAAGGAATGAAGGTTGGTTTTCAAAATTTTAGTTGGATTTGCTTCACAATTGCAGTTTCACATTTACCATCTTTGAGATTGACGAATGTTTCTTTTGTACAGTTTGACAAGGGCTATATGTCGCCGCATTTCATCACAAACCAGGAGAAATCTACTGTGGAATTCGAAAAAGCTAAAATCCTTGTGACGGATCAAAAAATCACTTCAGCCAAAGAACTAGTCCCTTTACTGGAGAAGACTTCACAATTAAGTGTTCCGCTGCTTATAATTGCAGAAGATATCTCAGCGGAAGTGCTTGAGATACTGGTGGTGAATAAGAAGCAAGGTTTGATCAATGTTGCTGTTGTAAAGTGCCCTGGAATGTTGGATGGAAAAAAAGCTTTGCTACAAGATATTGCACTCATGACAGGTTCTTCTATCATTTGTTCTTTGGATGTAGATTCTTACCTACGGTTTTCAGTTGCTAACATGACGAGTGGTGTAAAGCAGGAGCTGATTATCTTGCTGGAGACTTAGGCATGGGTCTCATGGGGGCAACTTCAGATCAGCTGGGAGTTGCTCGGAAAGTAACAGTTACAGCTAATTCAACAACTATAGTTGCAGACTCTTCAACTAAACCAGAGATTCAGGCAAGAATTGCTCAGATGAAGAAGGATCTAGCTGAGACTGATAATTCATATCTTTCCAAAAAAATTGCAGAGAGAATTGCTAAGCTCACTGGAGGTGTGGCTGTAATAAAGGTCCGATTTTACAAGAAACTGTTTCGGTTATTGATATATCTTTTGAGTGGTCTTGAAAACATCAGCTTAACCTGGTGTGTCAATTCAGGTGGGAGGTCACACTGAAACAGAGCTTGAGGACAGAAAACTTCGAATAGAAGACGCAAAGAACGCAACGTTTGCAGCCATGAGAGAAGGTATTGTTCCAGGTGGTGGTGCCGCTTATATCCATCTTTTAGATGAGATCCCTAGAATCAAGAAGAATCTAATGGAAGATTCATACGAGCAGATAGGTGCAGATATTGTTGCTACGGTATGAAACCTCAACGACCCTCATAGTGAAACCTGTTTCTCTATCCATTCTGGTTTCGTAAAAAACCTTCAAAAGTTTCTTTTTTGCAGGCGCTCACTGCACCTGCAATGGCGATAGCAACCAATGCGGGGGTTGATGGATCAGTTGTGGTGGAGAAAACTAGAGAACTCGAATGGAGAAGCGGTTACAACGCAATGTCTGGAAAGTATGAGGATCTTCTAAACGCTGGAGTCGCAGATCCTTGCCGGGTATCAAGATTCGCCCTTCAAAACGCGGTTTCTGTTGCCGGCATTGTTCTCACGACACAAGCAGTGCTCGTGGAGAAGATCAAGAAGCCTAAACCAGCCGTTCCTGAAGTTCCTGGCATACCCACCTCATAATCAATCAAACCACCGAAAGGTAACAAGCTCAAAAACCAAACTCTTTCAGCAGATTGTCTGAAGCGACCTAGCTGTGATGCAATGATATGTGCACAGTAGGAATTTTGTTTACTGGAATCGTTGTAGCTTATTGTGGAAGCCCAAACTTGTTGCTGTTAGCCTCAATTTTCCGAGAAAGCAAGAAGATGTGCCTTGTAGTGCAAGACTCCTTGGTTGTAAACGCTAATTATTACAAATATACAGCTAGGTTAGCTTTTATATAAGTTTTTCTTTTGTGCTTAGCTTATAAGCGTCATGTGTCTTCTATTATTCTGCAATCTCATCATCTGACCTTTTAGCCTAGGACACGTTTTAGGAGTTACTGATTACAATTAGCCAAAAAAGCATTTTCAAAAGGTACTCTCAGATTCTATTCCAATAAGCCATTAGCCATTGGACTCTAGAGAGATCGAACTCGGATTCAAAATCTCACTTGAACCTTTTTCTCTTCCATCTGTTTCAACTTTATGTTGGTTAAAATGGTTCATAATGTCGTCATTTGTTCTTGGACCCCGACTGGCCCATCCAAGAAGAGGACTAATCTCCAATTTTCAGCACATATTCTCATCTCCTCCAATCATTAACCTATGAATGATAATATTGTTGCGACTATATGGTACACAAAAGGAGGGATATATTTATCACATGAAAGATGAGATACGTGTCTATATTCTGGTGGTGTTTGACTTGGAAGCTGAAGACGAAGAAGTTGTACCGTTATTATTGGAGAAAAAGAAAAGAGAGAGCGCACTTTGGTTTTGGGTCTTGTGTGGGTCGCTCACGTCCCAAGTAACACTGATCCTACGTCGTTCTCGATAACGATTGATGAACCTTTGGTTTCCTCAAACTCGCGTAGCTTGCACGCGACTCTCTCTCTCTTTCACCACAAAGCGCGTGCTTTCCACGCCCCGACACTCCTACCTGTCTGCACACACTCCTTCCCCTTCACCTCGGATCAAGTTAACTTTTCACTGTTGTTACCTTTTTTTTTTGTTAAAAGGATCCTGTTGTTACCTTTTTTACCTTTTAATCTCTTATAAAACTAATTTTCTTCTTAAATCTGTTTCTCAGTGATCCTTAAGCAATCTAAATTAACCATTGGGTTTAAAATCACAGATTTTCCTTATTAAGAAAGTTTTGTTTTTAAAAACTATATCTTTTATGAAATTTTGTGATTTGAAAATGTGATCTAATGGGGGAAATATGTGATAGTACTACTCGAAATGGAACATCAATCGGCAAGCCAATCACATAGTATATATTGAAATTTAACCTCATTTACAACAATCATACCTTTTGTGACAAAGAATATGTGAATAAGTTAGGCAAAAAAAAGAAACAAAGAAGAATATGTGAATAAACTATTATGGCACGATTAAGTACTCATGATTGTGTTTATTAGTTCAACGAGTTCATGTTCATTGAGTCATTTCAGAAAACAATAAAATAAAATTGCAGAGATTACTTTAGATAATTTATTTTATTTTATTTTAGATAATATTTTCAGTTTTTCTTCCTTGTAAATGCTTTTTTTCCAGATTTTGATGACTTTCTGTAAATTTACCTAAAACCTTCACCAAAATCACCAACTTCCTTAACAACCGATGGGACCTTGCAATTCTCTGAATTTATGATTGAAGACGCAGCAGATGTCTTCTATGTCGCAATCGCCATCGGCTCCAGAAATGGAAATCCAACCGCCGGCATTGGTGAACGATGATCCTTCGACCTTTTCCTCCGCCATGTGGGATTGGGGGGATCTCCTTGACTTCGCCGCGGACGAGCGGCTTCTCGTCTCTTTCGACCCCGATCAAGCTCCTTTCTCTCCCGCTCCTCCTCCTCCTCCTCTTCCGCCTCTGATTCCCACGCAACCTCCGGCGCAATCTGAATCGTATCCTTCCCCGGAAGAATCGGGCTCCGGTTCTGATCGGGTTAGGAAGCGGGACCCGAGATTGATTTGTTCTAATTTCCTGGAAGGTATGCTCCCGTGCTC